ATTATTAAAAAATGGTAATATGTTATTATAATTACTGTTATATTAATTGGGTAATAATAATAAAAATGTTAACGATAATATTTTAAATAATAATTTTATTATTTTTATAAATAAATGTAATATTTTTGTTATTTTTAATTTAATTATTTTATAATTATAACTTAATATTATATAAGATTTTATTAATAAACCTAGTATTTTATTTAATTTATTTAATATTTAATTTATTTTTATATTTAAATTAAATAAAATTTAACCACTTTTATTTTTTACATTTTCCATTTTTTACTTGTGTGGCGTAAACAAGTTTATAACTTTTTAGTTTTATAATGTTAAATTTACAAATTACGTTAAATATATTTTTTAATAATATAATAATAAATTTACCTTTTATCCCCGTTTTTATTACGTAATTTTTAATATATTATAACGTTATTAAATTAATAATTAAAATATATTTTATATTAATTAAGTAAATTCGGTAAATTTTATTAATGTTAATAATATATAAGTTATTTTTAATAAAAATATATTAAATATATAAACGTTATTTAATTTAATAGTTTAATATATTATTAACGTATTAAATATTTAATTTTATTAAATAAATTAATAAACGAAATTAAATTTATAAGTTAACGTATTTAAGTATTTAACGTTATTTTTTATTTTTAACGTTATTAATATATAATAAAATAGTTTTTATTAATTTTTATTAAAGTATTTAAAATGATAAAACGTTAATAAAATCTTTAAAATTGTTATAATTAAAAGTAATTTACGGTTATATTTATACGTTATTATTTACCATTTTTATATTTAATTTACGAAATTTTTTAAAGTTATAATTTTAATTAAATTTAAAATTAACAATTTTTAATATTAATTTAAATAACAAAATTAAAATAATTTATATATTTATATATTATTATAAAATAATAAATAAAATTTATAAATTATTGTTTATAATATATTAATATTAAAAAATTGGAAAAACTTTATTTAAACTTAATTTAAATATATTATAACTATAAATTTAATGTTAAACCAAATATTTATAAATAATTTATTTAACCTTTTAATTAATAAAAAGTTATATATTGTTATATATTTATAAAAGGTTATATAATTTGTATAAATTTATATATATAATTTAAATTATTATTTTTAATTATTAAAAAAAAATATAACATTAATAATTTAAGCCTTAAATTTATTATTATTATATAAGTTTTAAATAAAAAAACGGTTTAATTATTAAAATTTTAAAGGTTTTAAATATTTATTGCGATTTTTTAGCATATTTTAAATAAAAATATTAAATTATTTTAATATTAATATTAATTTTATTATCCACGTTTACTAATATTATTAATTAAAATTAATAAATTATTAAATTTTAATTATAATAACTTTATAATAAAACGGAATAATTTAAAGTTAAATTTATATAACATTATTATTACAATTAAATAAAACGTTAATACGGATATAACGTTATATATTAATATATATATTATAAAAGTTTATATTATTAAATATTATTTTAAAATTAAAACGTTTATTTAAGTTTTTACCGTATTAACTATTAAAGTTATATTTTATTTTAATAATTGGTTTTTGCTTTTATTATTTATAATAAAATTTATAAATAAAATATTTAATAAATGTAATATTTTAAAATAAAAATTAATATATAAATTATTTAAATATTTATTGTAAGTAAATTTTTATATTATATTTCGGGTAAATTATTAATTAAATTCCGAAAATATTTAACGTTTTATAACTGTTAATAAATAAATTTAAAAAATAAATTTTATATTTATTAAATATTATAACCGGTTTAATATATTGTTTTAAATAATGTTATTTAAGTAATTTATTTAATATAATTAAAATTATAAATTAATGTTTTAACTTTAAATTTAAAACTGTATTTTTATATATAACTTAAAATATAAATTAAATAAAAATTAATATAAAAATTATTATTAAATTAAGTTTATATTACATTATTTTTTTTAAAATTTTATTAACGAGGTAAAAACCGTTAATAACGTTTTATATAAAACGTATATTAATGTATATGCCGCATATAATAAATAATATTGTAATATCCATTTTGCGGATTATTATAAAAAGATTTTAATTTTTACCGATTATAAAAAATTTTAAAACGAAGATATTTTTGTTAAAATGGTTTGTAATTTATAAAATAATATAGTTAATTTTTAACTAAATAATTAAAAATATACCATAATTTAAAATCGGTTAAAATATTAATTTAAAGATATTTAATATAATTAAAACCTTTATATTAATAAATATTTAAATTTTAATAATAAAATTAATTATTAAGTTAATATTTAATAATAATATAATAATTTTAATATTTATGTTATAAATATTTTTAATAACGTTAAAAATATATTAAATATAAAATAATAAAAGTTTTATAATTTATATATAAATTATTATTAAGATTATTTTATTAGTAAAAACTTAACGCCGTTATTAATTAACGTTAATAAGTTAAATGGTAGTAAAAAAACGTATATATTAAACGTTTTTTTGGCATATTTGTAATAATTAACGTAAAAATACGGTATATAAAATCCGGTCTTTTATATCACGTTTATAAAAATAATAACTAATATTATTAACAGTTATATTTTTTATTTTACCTTTTAATTACCGGTATAAAATACGTTTAATTTTTTATTAATTATAATGTTAAATTAAATTTAATATAATTTTAACGTTATACGGTACATTTTTATTAATAAAAAATTTATAATTAATTTAAAAACTTTTTATTAAATTAATTTTTGATTTAAAAAAATTATAATAAATTTAAATATAATTATAAACGGTTTAAATATAATTATATTAAATAACTTTTAACAGTTTTTTTTTATTAATAATTAATTATTATTTTTTCGAGATTTTATCGGTATTAATAATATAATTAATTACGTTATATATAAATATTTTAATTAAATAATTTATTTATTTATTATTATGTAATAAAACAGCTTTAATTAAAAAACTTTTTGTTAAATTTTAAAAATTATTTACCATTTTTATATAAATTAATTTAAATAAAAGTTATTTAATATTAAAATATAAATTAAGTTAAATTTTAATAAAGTTAATTATTTTAATATAATTTTTTAAATTTTTTTCCGATATAATGTTATAAATAAATATAATTATAATTATTTATTATCCTTTAATTATCCGGTAAAAAACGTTAAAATAATTAAAACTAGTTAAAATTAAAAATTATTTAATGTTTAATTAACTAGTAATTTTAAACGTTAATTATTTATAATTATTAACGCGTAATATATATTAATGCAAAATATTTAAATAAATTAAAACCTTATAAATAAGTTTATTAATATTGTTAAAGATTTAATATAATTAAAAAGTTTTAATTTATTTATTTTACCTTTTTTTATTATTTTTGTTTTTTTTTTGGTTATATTAAACCTTTATTTTTTTATATAAAATAAAATAAAATAATAATTTTTATTTTTTGTTTAATTTAATCGTATAAAATTAATAATAAACTTTATTAACGTAATTAATTTCCGTTAATAATTACCTTTATTATTATAATTTATAAAACTTAAAAAATTATTTATAATTAAATTATATTAAATATTTCCGAAAAAGAATTTACCGCCGGCTTTATTTATATTATAATATTACATATAAAACGGTTAAATAATTTAATATTTATTACCTTTTTTAATTTAATTATATTATAACGTAATTTTAATAAATTAATTAAATCGTATATTATAAACTGGAATAAACGTATTAATTAAATTATATAATTTTTATATAAAATTATTATTTATTAAAAGTAATAACTTGTTATTAAACGCTTTTTAAAAAAGCTGTTAAAAGTATTAAAAAGTATAAAAAAATATTTTTTTATATTAAAATTTATATATAATTATTATAAAATAATTATTTTATAAATTTTATTAATTATATATATAATTGCGGAATATAATTATATAAATTTTTTATTTTTATATATATTGTATAGTTTAATATATTACCTTTTTTATATATATATATTAAATTTAAAATTGTAATAAAATTATAATTTTCAAGTTATGACAAAAAAGTTTTCATCCCTAAAATAGTGCTTGCTCGATTTTTACATTGTCTAATAAAACCAAGGTTCGGAAAACAAAAGTTGGTTCGCGTCTACGTCGAAGCATGGATACATGAACATAACTTGAAACCAAACCTGTTACTTGGGACAAAGTTTTGCGAAGACCTGGGCATTATCATCAATTGATAGCTTCACTTCTGCCAAAAGGCCTTCGGGCCACCAATCCAATACACCTCCATCCAACATCGAAGACGACGACTACGACAACGAAACCGAAATCGAAACTGTCGTCATCCCCGATGACGACAGCGAAGACAGCAATATGGAAGAATTGGAATCGGAGATAGATACCACAAAACAATCAATCGAGACAATGCTGAAGGAAGTGCTCGAGAACCAACGGTCGATACCCCTGACAAGAATCATAAACATAACCAACTAAAAGATGCCATCCAGACCCTCGACAACACCAAACGGAAGAGAGCATCGATCACTTAATCCGATCACCACGATCCGCACTCAACCAACTCAAACAGCCTATAATACTAGCCACATCACAGCCTTCCCCCATCCTGGAAATACTCTAGAGGCAGCACCTCGAATGCATTTTCCAAGTATGCATCGGTAAGATGGTTCTCTCGAGCTATCATGTGATGACAATGTTGTACGTTTTGGGGACATAAGGTGTAAGACGACAACTCTATTCAGGATGTAATGCATGTGCATACGACAAGCCTCGTATACTATAGATAATCTACAAAGCGAATATAAGTATGCACCAAAAGGGGTGTTTGTTATAAGATACACTTCCTCGGCAGCTATGATGTAACTAGCGACAAGACAGCTGGAGCCTTGCAAGCTTGCTTTTTATCTACCTACAAAGGTAATGAAGTGTACAACAATTTATTGCCAAATACGGTCTATCTGGATCAATGTCATTGATGTTACCTTTAAATCATAGTGCCATTTCTAGATCATTTTATCGATATAGTGGTCGATTAACAAAGAGAGCTACAGCATGGTATCGTACCACTAACATCTCAGAAGGAAAACGACTTAACTGGCTGCCCTCCACCAATACGGTCGCGCTACAAAACAGACACTTTCCTCGATCGGTTGATAACTTAAGAAGCTTCACCACAACCAGAGCATTAAAAATGGCATCCGACGAAGATTACATGGCATTCTTAGACAAGGCGAACAAGAATCCGAGCGAAGGATATACAAAGGCACAGGGTGCAAACAAGCAAGACTTTAAGGCGACAGACGAGGGAGCGCAAATTCCTGCTGTTATTCAGGAAGCTACTAAGGATAGCTTCTACGTGAGCGACGCCGACGAACCGTTCGTACCTGTCTATTTGGCATGGGACGAGAGCGGCAAAGGTTTACCAGACGAAGGTAGGTTACGTCGGGGAATAGATTACTCGCTGGCCTCTACGACTACTAACTTCTGAGCCTATAGAGGAATTCGCAATCTTGATACACCATCCAGACCCGTCAAATGCGCAGATTGAAATTCAAGATCCCGCGGACTGGGACACGCAGGGTCAGTATAAGTCGATCCTAGATGCGGTGCGCAAAGCAGGCAAGGGGAACGACGTCCGAGTGTATCGAGTCTCGAAAGGAGGCGTTAAAATCGAGTATTGGGTCGTCACGACGGAGGGTATTGGACCAAGCGCGAAGCTTGTTGGTGTTAAGGCGCTGGCGATTGAGAGCTGATCAATCGGATATGATCACTGCCGAGGAAAATAAAATAGTAAAGCATTAAATGCACATCTTATCGAGTACCTAGGTATGGAGAAGGATGGATCATAGGTAGTTTCCGTTAAGCTTCAATTTATGCTATATTGAATACCCCGCGATTTTCGTTTAAACCTCCAAGGTTTGCTGTGATAAGATTAGTTATATGTGATAAGATATAGTACTACTTCGTATGTGGGGTAGTTATGACAAAAGTGCCCCTCCTTCCGTCAGCTCCGTCTTCGGATAAAATGCGTAGGAGCAACCAATGTAAGGTACCGGTACCAAAAAGTTTAGGGACCAACCAAACAGCTCTAGCGGGTTTAAACATCCTATGCTGAGTCAACCTGGTGTCGCATACTTGTGTGTTGAGAATTGACAAGAGCAAGGGAGGAGCGAAGGAGTAACATCCTCCCTCTTACTACTTCCTTCAATAACCTGCCCACAATGGCTCAAGCTGTAAGAACTTCTCTCAATTCATTTGGTGTAGTGTATCAGACTAGAGAATCTCCAAGTCAAACTAACAAGTAGTTTGTCTACTATAGGACGTGATTCTGCCGTCCCTGGACACCGTCAAGGAAATCTTATCGAAACCCACGACAGGACCTAAGAAGCCAAACTTAGTCCCTCTATACGGTCAAATATCTGCCGACTTAATAACGCCATCTGCGGCGTATTTAAAGGTGTCAGAGCACTCAAAGACAGACTTCTCCTTCCTCCTCGAGAGTGCCGCTACGGAACGAGTTGGTCGATATAGCTTCATTGGTGCAGGCCCGCGCAAAATCCTGAAGACTGGGGAGGGTCATGGAGAGTCGGTAGATCCGTTACCCGCGCTCGAGAAGGAGTTGGCACAAAATGTCGTGGTTGAGATCCCGGACCTCAGGCTGCCGCCCCTTATTGGAGGTGCCGTTGGCTACGTAGGCTATGACTGCGTCCGATACTTCGAACCTAAGACCGCGCGGCCTATGAAGGATGTCCTTCAAATACCAGAGTCCTTGTTCATGTTATTCGATACTATAGTGGCCTTTGACAGATTCTTCGGCGTCATCAAAGTTATCACCTACCTTCACATCCCTGAGAACCTAGATACACTCGCAGATGAGTATAACAAAGCAACTGCGACCATTCACGAACTCATTGACGTCCTCAACTCCCCCGAGATACCCATACCCGAACAGCAACCCATTAAGCTCGGCCAGCAGTATACGTCCAATATTGGTCAGGAAGGGTACGAATCACATGTGACAGAACTGAAGAAGCACATCGTTGTTGGCGACATCATCCAGGCTGTCCCCTCCCAGCGGTTTGCTCGCCCGACTTCGTTACATCCGTTCAACATTTACCGCCACTTGCGAACGGTCAACCCTTCTCCATACCTCTTCTATGTCAACTGCCAAGATTTCCAAATAGTTGGCGCGTCGCCAGAGCTGCTGGTAAAGGAGGAAGAAGGACGGATCATTACCCATCCTATTGCCGGCACAGTCAAGCGCGGCAAGACGCCAGAAGAGGACGAGCGGCTTGCCAATGAACTTCGCAACTCACTTAAGGATCGCGCCGAACACGTCATGTTGGTGGATCTAGCGCGGAATGACATCAACCGAGTCTGTGATCCGCTGACGACGAGGGTTGATAGACTGATGGTAGTGGAGAAATTCAGTCACGTTCAACATCTTGTTTCCCAGGTATCAGGTGTACTACGACCAGACCAAACCAGGTTCGATGCTTTCCGATCAATTTTCCCTGCCGGAACGGTATCGGGTGCCCCAAAGGTCCGAGCAATGGAACTCATTGCTGAACTTGAGAAGGAGAAGAGAGGTGTATATGCCGGGGCTGTGGGATACTTCGGGTACGGTAGCGTAGATTCCAATGGAAAGGAAATCGAGGGTGCTATGGACACTTGCATTGCCTTACGAACCATGCTAGTTAAGGATGGAGTTGCATATCTCCAAGCCGGTAAGCATTTTCTTATACTCTGATTTCTGGATTTGCTGACAATTGAAATAGGGGGTGGGATTGTCTTCGACTCAGATCCGTATGAGGAATGGATAGAGACGATAAACAAGCTAGGAGCTAACACGCATTGTATTACATCGGCGGAAAATCTCTACGCAAAAAGACAGCAGAAATAGAATATCCGATTTGTGCCCTAGTTTGACACAATCGTATTCGTCTAGATCTTGTGGTTACGGTTGAGCGAGGTTCTAATATGAAGTCTCTAAGGTCGATTGATTGGTCTGGATTGAGGCGCTTGTGATAATCGATACTCACTCTGCGCGCCGCTTTATGCCGAGCCAGGAGAAAAGCAAGCTAACCAAGGCTCCAAACATTCGAATTTGAACACTGAACCTTTAAGTGGAAGAAGGCATATCCTACCTAAGCACTTAAACGATGTAGAAAGGAGCACAACGGGACGACGGACGAAAAATAGTCCATGGAAATTAAATCGATTGAATTCAAGGGCGTGGATGAGTATACAAAAAATAGATAGGGAATAGGGTTATCGTGGTCAACGGATCCCTTATAAGTTAGTTATTGAATTGTTATCCTTACCTTAGCCCTGCCTCTCAGACGTATTCTATACCGGCCTATTTACTTCCGCCTGGAAAGCTTAGTGGTATTTGGAGATGAGAAGTACTACTATGGCTGTTTGCAATGATATATACATTCTAATATGGTATTGATTACACTTACCGTTCTTAAATAAGGACATAGCTTGAGAGTAGATGGCAGATTCAATTATACGAATTCGACCCGGCATCTCCGATGTAGACACGGATGATAGCAGATTAGAAAGAGAGCTATAGGTAAATGTATAGCTATCATAAGAGGACTTTAAATTGTGTACGGACTCGCTAGAAACCTGGTGGATTCTTGACTTCTCATACCATTTCATTTTCTAGCACCAACGGCACTCTCTACCTACTCATAAACTTTCAGGGTCTTCGGTTAGGTTAGCTGTTGCTTCTCCTCGTCCCATATATGCCCAGACAAATCATGCGCGGGCTCGACCTTGCGCATCCCGTCCATCTTCTTATACGTCAAAGTGTCGAGGTCCATGCCGTAGAACGAGCGGGCCTGTATTGGTTATGCTGTTAGCGAAAGGGGGTTTCTAGGGGTTTCTGGTCTTTGTTCCCTTTCACCATACACTATACACTATGCATATGCACACACACACAGACACACATTCTCTCTCTCTCTCATATACTTACGCTAATACCATACACATGCTCCTTGAACACATCCAAGAAGTCGATGCCCAGGCTAGCACCGCACTTAGGACAGAACATCTGGTCCTTCTGCTTAGTGTTGAAGCGGTAGCTGGCGCACCGCTCCCGGCTGTTGTTATGCCATACGATATCAGAGGCCTTGGGGTCTAGGCGGGTTGTTAGCTAGTGTTTGTACTGTCCCCATGTCGCTATACCTTCGGTAATACCGTCTAGGCATAACTATCAGTGACGATGAGGGCGACTTACAAACGAGCAGATACCCCAGATGAGAACACGCGGAACAACTGCAGTTGAGGATCTTGTACTCGGGGAATGGCGGTGATAAGGTGACGGAAAACTTGATGTAGCCGCAGTGGCAGCCGGCTTCGTACGTGCCCGTCTCTTTTCTGTCTTCTATCTTCTGCTCTGCGGCTGCGGCGGCGGAACTCATGATTTTATTTCTCTTTTTTTTCTCTCCAGATATTTAGATAGGTCTTATTCTCGTATACCCCGCCTATTACTCTACCCACTATTCGTAATATATTTCTTACGTGCGGTAGAATTGGTACGTACGTACGTAAGATGAGTCGGTAGGTAATAATTGTATACGGTAGAAACGAACAAGGAAGATACGTTAGGTACCTAGGTAACAGACCGAGAATTTAAGTCTATAGAGTTGAAGAGCATAACTCTCTTATAAATCTTTCTACATACCTATGTATTATTAATATACGAGTATCTAAACCAGCCTATCCTAAAAACCGCGGGGTCCTTTTGTTACGGACATCCGCACGGGAAGGATCAAAGAACCCTGTCTTATTCAGTTAATATAAAAGGTGCGTAGAACTCGAAGCCGTTGAAGATACCTGGTGCAGCTTAAGAGGTAGACTTGAAGATACATAAGACTTGCATGCGCTATGCAGATGCATCTAATCGCACGTCTTATCTTCTAGCGCCTCGAGTCACTTGTTGTTTCTACAGATATATTATGTTCTATGCAGAGGCATGCATTTATGGCTGCGTCTTGTGCAGGGCGCGGGGCATTATGGGGGGAAATTCCGAATAAGTGACCTTGAACAGACGCCCTTCTTGTACGACGCGCAGGGATTCAAAATATATGCCTTAAATCCTTCAGCATGTATGTATGTACATCGAATACCTAGTCACAGGTTATGTACGTAATTATTGCATCTCATACGTGCCTATCTCGATCGATAGGCTAGGGAACCTAGTCTTGAATATCCATGGTTGCCTCCCATGTAAGCCGTAAGCAAACAGGGCACGCCTTTGACGAATTAGGCAATGCATCTCGACATCATTGGCGGAATCTTATGGTGGCGTGAACTCTGTGTAACGATACTTGGCAACAATTTATACAGTTACTCTAGTTATACTCTAAGTGTTATCTTTTAAACAACTAACTAACTAAGACTAATAAACTTGAACAAAGTATTATAATTTCAGGACAGGAAACTTATATTGATAACAGTCTTAAATCACAAGTATAAATGTAAACAATAATTATTAAGAGTATTGATGGTTTGTGGAATTATTACTCGTAACGAGTTATAGTCGTAATAGTAGTAGTGGTAATAGTAGCTATATACTACTTGAAAGTATTTACAAGTTATCTATCATCTATTGGTATTGGCATAGCTAAATTGCGTCGTTCATAACGCATCCATCCGTAACATATATAAGTCTAAACCCAGCCGTATAATCCGCCCGGTATTTTTGATTCCTTTATAATAAATCCCGGGTATATTAATTAATAAAAAACGCGCACCTAGGCCTTTTCGGTCTCGACATTAGTCTTCGGGGCATTCGACGCGGCAGCGTGATCTGTCGTCTCTCCGTCGACTGCCGTGTCGTTGCTAGAGTTGGAGGCACTGCCCGGTGTGTTTCCGGGAAGTGATGGGGCGAACTTGCTCTTGGCACGGATCTTGTGACCGTAAAGGTAGAACATGACTGGAATAGGTACCAGCAGAGCAGCTACGCAGCCTAGCAACGTAGCCGCCCATTGAATTCCAAGCCCATTGAACATATATGTCGCAAATAGGGGGAACCCGGCACCGCAGAGAGATCGGAGGAACGTGTTGCCTGCAATAGCCGAGGCGGCGAACATAAGATAGGCATCAACAAGGTAGTTAAGAGCCTGAAGGAAGATACCCATAAGACCAAAACCGGTTAGGATACCCGAAGCGGCAGGGACAATCCAGTGGATGTCTGATCGGTAACCTGACCATCCAAACCAGAAGATACCGCCAGTGAACGAAACGCCACCAGCGATAACAATGGGGAGACGCCATTCGGGGATAGGTATGCCATTGTTGGCAGCCAGCTTACGTTGGTATGAAGGCTGGTCGAGCAGCACTACGATACCTGCTATGAGTTGACCGATAATCATGCCGAAGAAGGCCAGACCAGACTGACCAGAGTTGAAGTGATGTATTCCTTGGAAAACAAAAGGATACGCCGTCAGGAAGAGATAAAGCAGTCCGTAAATGAAAGCCATGTAGATCGAAAGTAGTGTGACAATTGGCTCGCCGAACAGAAGTCGCATGGGACGAGTAAAGTTCTTCTGGATCAGCTCTTTGAAGTCGACTTCAATTTCTTCCTGCTTGGCGTGGATACCCCAATTCTTAGTACGACGACGTAACTCGGCCGCCTTTTCGATCAAGATCACAGGAGGGTAAGTCTCGGACAAGAAAAATAGATCAAGGGCGAACGCCACCCAACCCATGATACTCGCGACATACATGGTCCAGCGCCATCCGAGATAAGACGTCACAATGAAACCTCCCACGAAAGGAGCTAGCAAGGGACCAGTAAAGACAGCCATGGAGAAAAGGGTAATAGCGACACCTCGAGTGGCATTGTTAAACATGTCTGAGAAGACGGCAGCAACGACAGCCAGTGGGCAAGCACCGCAGAAACCGGCAAAGAATCGGCAGATAAGGAGTGTCTGTAAATCCTTGGCCGTTGCGCAAGCAACAGAGAAAGCCGAAAATCCGAACATAGCTATGACTATCGGCAAACGTCGCCCCTTTAACTCGGATAGCGGCGCCCAGAATGTCGGGCCGGTTGCAAAACCGATCACGAACAAAGAAACACCTAATATACCAACTTCGGAGCTGACGCCGAATTCCTTAGCCACATATGGTGTTGCGGCTGAGAAAATACTGGAGGCGAAAGCAGAAGTCATTGTGGTGTAACCGAGCATAGCGGCTGTGAATAACCTATAGGAACTCGGGTTAGAGAATTGTACAGGTAGGTAGTTATAACTTTACAATCGTTATGTAACTTACTTCTTTTTAAGCGACCAGTTCTGGGCGTGATAAGGATCATTAGGGCCATCAAATTCGACAACATATTCTTCTTGGTTGGGTAAAGGGGGCGGGAAGGGCTTCCCGGCTCCGAAGGCAGGTAACGGTTTTCTCGACTCACGGTTCCTAAGGCTTCGTCCAACGGTAGCACTGTGTTGGCTTCGGGCGGTATTAATACGGCTAAGTTCGGTAGGATGTCGTTCGAGGTCTCGTTGTGTGGGAATACGGCTCATACCGCCCTGGTTTCTATGCGCCATACCATCGTCACTGGAAGTCGTCGATATAGACGACGCCGAAACAACTCGTTCGACTTCATTACTGGCACGGCGGTAGGGATGCTCGGGGTTAGCCCTAGATGCAGTAGGAGAGACATGCCGTAAGGCATCCTCTTCAGCTCGGAAGAGCTCGCGATCGACCTCGTCCATTATTCAAGCAATAATGGGATATTTGACCACAACAAATATCAAAATAATATGCTTGTCACCAAATGGATTATGATTGCTTTGTTGTGGTGGCGGTCAGAGAGGCAAGTAGAAGGGTTGCCTTATAAATTACAAACAAAGGTATAGTTCGTTATACTCGAGAACAAAGAAACAACGAGTATAGTATGATATAATAGAACTACGCGCACTTTGCACCGCGAAGAGGGGCTCAACGAGAATTGAAGATAAGAAAAAAAGTAAAAGAAATTCTTCAATTAGGCCACGGGGGTACCCTGATAATAAAGGAAACGAAAAAAATATCATTCGAAATGGGACACTTTGGGTCGGGATTAAGAAAGCTCTGATATCTATTAGAGGCGATAATGCGAAGGGGTTCGGCATTCGCTTTTTGCCGTGGTGACTATGTAGAAAAGAATTATGGATCTAGACAGAAAAGCTCTGGGTCTTCAATGACGACTGGAAGGATTGACCAGGGATGCACTAAACTACCCTATGTAAAGATTTCCACAGGGCCTTTTCAACTAATAAGCAGCCTAAATTCGCCGGGCTGTATGTACCTGCCTTCGGGGTGGTGCATGAAACCGACCGTATTCGTTTGATTCACTATCATAGTAACACTATCATAGTAGAAAGCTTGACTACTTCCCTATTTCTAGAAAGTACGCGAATGGACCCAATGCTACAGCCGCATCCATGTCCCGATCCATGCCCCCATCCCGACTCGGCTTTCTGACAGACAGCATGACAATTAATAACACCTGAAAAACCCGAGACTAGTAAGGCTGACTTATGTATAAGCAGCCTCCGAATGACTCTTATCTGCGTTCTCTTTACTTAGGTACCTAGGTAGATTTATTTTACCTCGGTCTAGGTAGGTAAAAATCTCTAGATAGATCTCTTCGAATATTGGGTTGTTAGTTAGGTAGGTAGGTATGCTTAAACCAAGTCCCTTGGTAATCACAGAAGAACAGGACCCTTGTATAGCAACCGCACCTATTGAATGGAATTCAGAAAATAACATGAAAAATTTCAGTAGGGGGGCGACTGGAAAGGGAAGAATGGGCCGAGGTGCAAATTAGAGAAGGGGGAAAAAGTGCTACGATGGCGGGGCCTTCGTATCTAAGATCTTTTGATTTGTAGACAAGTATCGACTCCACCTTACTACCCATTGTCCCAATTGTCCCCATTGTCCCCATTGAAGCCCATTGAATGTGCGGTGTCGAGACCCAAAGCTGCTCAAGCAAGAGTCGAGATTCGAGATCGGGTCTCAAAGATTGGTTTATCAGTCACAGATCCCTGCTCGGCTACTCTACCCGGTTCGGTTTGAAGCGCTTCATAGCGGTGAGCTAACAATCAACAATTAAAAAATTAAAAAAAGACTTTGTAATCCTGATCTCCCATAATCACAAAGGAAAAAAAGAACAAAATCAGCCTCGGCTCGTCAACGCCGAGAGAAAATAACGTACGTAAACACACGTAATAAATACGATAATGAAGGTTGCGAGTAATGTGTAACCAAGAAACTAGTTACAAAATATCATAGCAAACATATTCACACCGGTCACGATCCATAATAACCAATAGGTCTGTCGTATGATCCAGTACGTTTCTTCATGATGTCTAGTTTTTGTAGATCATTTCTCGAGTCATACGTCAATGAGACGTAGAGTATGCGATAGTGACAGAGCGGTAATACCCCAACACCGGGATTCCGGATTTGTCATGTATGTACTACGGTCAACGCTGCGGCTCTCTTTCCGGGTGGGTAATTCGCTAGTTAGACGTAAGTAATAATAGTGTAGTTTAATGCCCATCACACCACCATGTCGGTTAGTATAACTCCGATGTACATAATGCCACTGCGCTTACTCGTGCATAACTCTAGTTGATAATCAGATAAATAAAATTTGTGGGAGGGCTCACTTGGGACAATCCACCCAATTGGATTTGTCAGACCAATTATGCAATGGATCGGTTTGCTTGTGAACCCGGTTCGAACGACATCTTTTCCCTATGGCCGTGCCGATTCGGACGGTGACTCGGAGACGGTGTTAGCGGTGATAAGCCACCGTACGGCCTAACGTTAGGTGGAGCGTAAGTTTAAAGCTGACTGCGGTTGTACATTAATAGATAACTAGCAGCACCTGCAACCTTAACTTTACCACGATGACGGGACGCACGGCGTACATAAGCTTGCGTTATCCTATTTCGTGCATAGGATCGGTCATTTGCGTAGCCGCGTTACACCGAAATCGCTTTTCCGACGAGAACGTAACCATTAAAAGTTTCTGCGCCCTTTCGGTACGAAAAAACTACAGACCGCGGTTATTTTACGCCCCAGCCGTTTTCTAACAAACTAGTGGCTTCTTCGAGAGTCAATCCCGCCGTTTCCGGATATATCTTCCAGACAGCATACCAGCCAACAGCGCAAACGACGCCGTATAAACCGAACGTAAACGAAGGGGTTAATAGGTCCATCCTGCTATGAGTTAGTTTTTATAGCAAGAAATGAAGGTTGTAGATATAGTTATATGCGGGCGTTAATTACGAAACTATTAGTAGGTACTTACTATAAGATGTGTTAATAGGTTCAACTTCAATAAAAAAGGTAGTATTTCAGCTGTCTGGATATTAAGTACGTACCAATGGCAAGAATGTCAACCCAACGATAAAATTAGCCAACCAGTTCGTAGCTGTCGCTAGTCCACTGCCAAGTGAACGTACGTTAAGCGGGAAGAGCTCGCTTTGCATCCATGGCACATTGCCAAGTCCGAGAGCGTAAGCCGCAACGTACGTCATGATACTTACTAGAATAACAATGGCAGCGCCTCGCGAGGATATTGAGGCGGCGTCGGTAACAGGTGCACCGCCACCGACATTGGCATCGCCAGACGGTAGTTTAAGCAAGCTGAAACCAAATGCTGACAGGAAAAGGCCGATTACCATGAAAGGTAATGAGTACAGCAAGATCCGCCTACGGCCGATGCGGTCGATTGAAAGTAGTGCAAATACTGTAAAACCGAAATTTGTGGCGGCGACTGTCAGCGATGTGAGCGTCGGAACCGAGAATCCCAACATGGTGAAAATTGTGGCAGAGAAATACATTAACGAGTTCTTCACGATTAGTTAGAATATGAGATTTAGGAGGGGCGTAATGACTTACAAAACCGCAAAGCTGTTGTAACCCCTGAAGTAAGCAGGCGATAACCAGCGCTCGTCGGTTTTTTGGCACGCTGAGAAGCTCATTCCATCCCTTAAGCCATGTGCTACTATTCCTGCCTCCATTATTGGCCAATGCTATATTCCCCTGCTCTTCCCTGAGTTCCATCTCAATATCTTTCACAACACTATCAATTAATCGTCGAGAAGCTGGGTCGTATCCTAGCGTCTTTTCGATGACGCGCCGAGCATCTGCAGATTTCCCTACTTTTACGAGCCAGCGGGGAGTATCGGGCATGAATAACAGAAGAAGACATTGCAGTGCAGCTGGCAGAGCCCCTAAGCCGACCATCCATCTCCATCCCGTAGAGGGATCGCCATGCTCGGCAAACATCCATCCGATAACGTAAGCTACGACTTGTCCAGCAGTGATCGATAGCACGTTCATCGTTACGAGCATACCACGGTAAGCCGGCGGAGCTAGTTCAGCAATGTATAACGGTGTTACAAAGCTCGCGGCACCCACGGCGGCTCCGACTATCGATCGTCCAATGACCATACCCGACACAGTATAGCTCATAGACTGAACCACGGCTCCGATTACAAAGAGCAGATCCGACAGTAGTATAACGGGTTTTCGACCAAAGTAATCGGCAAGGATGGACGAGATCGGGGACAAGATAAGGGCGAATAGCGCGGTGCATGACGTGATGAGAGATTTATCGAGCGAGTTTAACATCCTCCCGGACAGCGAGGTGCCTATCGAAACCAACGTAGCCGAAATTACTCCTGTATCATCTAGGTTTCTATGTATAAGCAATTGCGCAGGACGTTGAAAAAGTGCTATACTTACATCCGAACAGGAGCCCGCTAATACAAGCGGACAGAGTCAAGAGCCATATAAAAACACCCGGGCGACCAGCGGGCCATTCGGGAATCGTATCCTCGCCATCTGAGCGCGCTTCCTCTTCTAGTTCGTCCTCCTGATGCGACAGCAGGGGAGCTTCCGCTGGGCTTGCCATATTGAGATACCACTGGTGCTAGTCGTCACCGCATTAACTCATATTCGTATTAGCAGGTTCCCATGGGAGTCGCCGTCGTTTCAAACACAGAATCGTTCGTAGTTTATCTCTAGACTTTAAATGTTACACTAATAAATGTTGAAGTGGTACGGTTTGTAGTCGAGCACGCGACGTCAGCGGCCCGGCTAATTGTCGGCCTCCGAGGTTCACAGGGCAGAAGCTGCTGTGTGACATTACACAACATATAGTGACCCGTGCTTACCTTCCAGTGTGTGTATCGTGTACTAATCTCGAATAATAATTCAGTTTTCACTATATACATGGTGTTATATAATTTACATCTAAACGTACTCCTCGAATTATAATCAAAACATATTACCAGAAGGTATCAATACTGAACCAACCGACAACACCACCACCAAGAAACAAGCCCAGAACAACGATGGAAAGACGACCCTATCTTGTAAAGCTCTGAACCCACGTATCCCGCGTCTTGCTCTCAGGGGAGCTTTTGCTATTGTCCAATTCTATCTGTCCAGCGTTTGCCCCTGAATCTACGCTTTCGAGTTCCGAGCTTGTGGCTTGTTCCCATGGGCGCAACTGTCTCTTCTGATTCATATATAGCCTGATGCTCATCCCGCGCCCTTCCATTAATAAGATGTAAATCACAACGTACCATAGAGGCACGGCGGACAGTCGGCCTAGGCGGTTGACTTTGGAAAAGATGAGGATCACGTTTAGTATGGTGGCCAAGATTATTAGGATAACGCCCAACGCCCTCGCGCACAGAACCCGCGAGGAGTTGTTATTGCAAGTGCTCCATCGGATGAAGTTGGGATGACTATATCTTCGCAACTCTGTCTCGGCCGCTAAAAAGGCTAAAAGAAAGCTGGATGGGTGTGTCGTATGTTGTAAGGCGTGGAAACAAGCAGCTCGGTCTTCATGGGACAAGTTCAACTTCCGTGATCCAGAGGTCGATATGTACTGGCGAGCTATTTCTGTAACTTCGTCTCGGAATGGCTGCGTCGAGACTTCTCTAACATTAGCAGCAGGACGGTTCAAAGAGACGATGTCTCTACTCACAGGTTGCCATTGCCACTCGTTTTGAGTATCATCCTTTACCCCTGACGAAAGTGCTAACGCTCGAGGCTTTGAGAAATTTATGTCTACACCGATCTTGGATTCCGGATTTCTGGCTGACGCAGCTTCCTGTGTTGTCGCCGGTGTGTCTACGTCCAGAACTGTAAGTGTTCGGCTTAGCTTGTCTATCCTCTCCTCCACCTTTATCGACCGCGGGCGTGACCTTAGATGTACCGGAGATCTTTCTCTCTCACATCTGGGTAATTGAATCCATCTCCCGACATAGTTATGATACCATAGGAAAAACCGAAGATTCTCTGCGCTTCGCTCTATGTACATTAGATAGTTCATAAAGTCGTCCAAGGAGCATGGCTTATATGCATATTAGTACTATACATAGATGATATTACGGTGCGTACTGACCGAGCGTGTCTTTCCCCTGATTACATTTTCAAATGATAGCTCCGCCGGAATCTTCCTCTTGAATGTTATTATATCCTTCAAGTATGGGGTAAGTATTGATTCCGCCATCAAGTTCCTGGTTTGGGTATCGAAGCCGGTCGCACAATACAGAGAATTCCACGTACCACATCAGCCCAATAAAAGAGAAAAGGGGGCGGCTCTATACCGTCTTATACTAGGAAGCAGCTTTTCTATTAATTAGCTACGTAAAGATTCACTGCCTTAGATACATATTCCAATACAATTTTACTACGAATCCTATCGAGTATCTAGGTAGGTATTGTCGAGGAATATCCCTGGAAGACAAAACCTGCATATTGAAGGCTGCCCCTCACATCCTAGAACCACTCTTGTACATGGAATAAATGACACCACCCTTGATCCAAGCGAAACATAAAGTTCTATACATCTCTCGTAGAGACATCGACATCCTTGTCTGGTCACATCCGGGCGCGACCAACCTTAATTCGACCGCAAAGCACTTGCATATCGGACGATTAAGTTGGGATGAGTTAGCACGACGTACGTATAGATATCAAATGGTGTATACACCGCAAGAAGGAATTGTCCCGAGAACCTCAAACTGTACTTAGATCCCGCAGTTAAGAACATCAGATCATTTCTAATTCCTCCAAGTTTCATAATCTACTGAGAATAAAATAGAGAGTGCCGGCAGGACACAGATTGAATTCATTCCGAATGCAGCCGTGTGTCAAATGGCGATCTAAAGGACCTTTTGTACTGACGGATTCAATGGTTCCCCAAGCTGCGTTTGACGGTACCACCTTACGTACCGATTGTAACCATAGAAGTAAAAGAGTTACATTTTAAAATATACTAACCTAATTAAATTGTGAGGAAGGCATGAAAGGTAATCATACCGTGAATGCGATACAATCTGAAGGAATATAGGATATACTGCACAAGTACCCCGTTATGATCAAGGCTCAAACCCTGATCCTCAAGCGAACAGTCTTAACCACCCCTTAAAACCATCACATAGGAGAACACAAGAGCGAACCCACAGACAAACACCTCCAACGACGGGTAACTAGAAAAGCCAAATGCGGGCTTAATCCCCTTTAGCCCCCCGCTCTGCCCCGTCTCTGCTATCTTGACTGTCGTGACCGTGACCCCGCCGACCCCCGTCCCTACTCCCAAGACAGTGGTAGTTCTCGTGATGGTCGTAGGCGGGCCGCTTAAAACGTTCGTCGCGAGCCCCGGCTCCGCACGGTATACCTTCAGACAGCCGTCTTTAGTACACTCGGTGTTCGGCGCGCAGCAGCCGCCCCCGATGCTCTTGTTGCAGGGGCTCATCCGGCCGTCGCAACGTGGTGGCTGGGCCTCGCTGGCGAGACATTGAGATTCGCCCGCGCAGCAGTAGACGCCCGACGGTGAGAAGTTGCTCGAGTAGCAGACCATTCCGACGGGGCAGCATACATTCTTTGTTTCTCGTTAGATTACCTATATCTATATCTACACTATCGTGCCTCTTAGGTGACGATAAAAAGCCGAAGAGAGAAACAAGTATAAGGATGTAAGAAAAATACGAACAGGTTGATCATAAGCCTCGCAGCTATCCCTCTTCTCACCGCACGCATTGACACTCACGCCTCTTGGGACGACGGGCGGGGTGTCTGGGCCCTCGGGCTGGCCGTCGGTAGACTTGGCCTTGTCTTTCAGCAGGAAGGCGCCGCTCGAGTAGTACATGGCGTCGTAGTAGACGGTGAAGACGACGCCGGTAATCAGTATGCCGACGACGATTACGACGAGCGATATGAGAAAGATCCATCGTAGCGTAGGCCGGTTCTGGAACGGGCACTACCGATGCCAGTCGAGCTTGGCTCGTAGGCAGTTTTCGTTCTTGGTGTTCCAGGCTTTGCGCTTGTGGCTGTCGCAGTGCTCGTCAGCGGCTACTACTGAAGGCTGTTGTGATCGAGCTTGGCTTTCTTCTGCCATGTATCTGGGTGAGACTGATGGGACTGATGGGACTATTATAATATCTAGGGTTGCGATTGGATACTAGATGCACTTTTGAATCGGAAATCTTTTAGGTGATACTAGGAGTTTTAGGTGTAAGTGGAAATGAGGGTTGGTAGAATTATTATTTGAGACGTTTTGTTCAAGATGTATATACGTACCTAAGCAAGCAGCACCTACCTCTGTATAGAGGACAGACATTGTATGTGACCACCTTCCTGTGAGAAGGCTTGGATTGGAATCTACCTATGGAAGGAACAATGTTCTCACTGGAAACACTAACAGCTTACATGATAGACAGCTAGAGACTACCTATGTACCTAGGTAGCTACATGTAATTAAGAGGTACATGTGCCTTCTTCACATCTTAAAAGTAGAAACGTACGATAATCACATTGTAGCAGAAAGTTCCATAATCAATGAAGGGTATCACAGCCAAAGCGGCGTTGTTATTTAATTGGTATCAGGAAGTTGGTCTTCCTTAGCTGTGTAATTGTTGCTTCATGACAATCATGAGTGTCGTTTATCTGGAAATCTCTTAACTCATCCTCCTCGTATGCAAGTCGAAGCACATTCCTCGCAGTCATCTTCTGAAGTGTATCATCTAAGTATGTGCAAATGTCCACAGCAGACGCCGATCATTAGGTAATGGCCCAGAGCTATCCAACGCAAGACAACAAACGCCGTGTACAGTGCCTTGCGGATGCTTTGAATAAACTTCCCCAACCGAGTAGTCGAAAGGAAGAATTAGGTGGTACCTGACGGATAGTGCCGGCCATAAAACCTCCCGTGTGGGATTAATTAAGGGAGGGCACGGCGGAATGGAACGTCAGGATCGAAAAAAGTTGTAGTTTTAAAATCTTTCGATCGAATTAAAGTTGAATTAAAGCCATAATGTGAAAACCATCATCACACCCACGAGGCCAGCACCCATACCGGCAATTTCCTTCGATCCGGAGACAGCATTCTGGGTTTCTGACGGGTCGGCACTGGGAGCGGTACCGGTAGCACTAGGCACGGACGAATAAGTGCCGGCGGTAAGCGTTGCTCCTAAGCTTGGGACGGCGACGTTGCCATTAACAAGCCATCCGCTGGCGGTTGAAGTAGGGCAAGCACGTGTTGAGACCGACTTCGTGTCGTATTTTGATTTGGGAACTCCAGTGGGTGTGATACTCGCCCAGTGCTTGCTGAGGTTGTCGAAATCGGGTTTGACAGGTGTCGGGGTACCTGCACGCGTGAAGCCACCGGCGATATCCTTACCAGTGACAGTCGGGTCGACCTTGGGACCGTACGAAATTAAACCGTATTCGTTGGCTTCCTGGATCCATTCGTACACGATAGCTCCGCTCCAGTCATTCACCATTTCGGGGCCGAATATAGCAGCTTGGTCGTCGAACAATCGCGGACCAGGCTTATTACATCCAGTCTCGGTGAAGAAAATGGGCACGGGAAAGTTCTTAGCCTGCTCTTGCAGGTTGGCGTAACCGGAGGTCTGATAGTCGGTGGGATCGCACCATTGGTATGAATTCAAGCCGTAGAAGTCGATATTCTCGGACGCGTTTCCTCCACAGGTAAGATAGTCTTGTAACCAAGGTCGAAGCTCCGCAATATCGGTAGCAGAGTAACCGATTGGGATCTTGCGGTATCCCTTCGAGTCTCTATACGCCTTTAGATCACGGGCGCTTGCCTTGATAAACGGTGCGGCCAACGACTGATTGTTGATGGCGATAATCTCATTTCCCACAAATAAGCCTAGTAGATTGTCATAGCCATGGAATGTGTCCATAACCTTGGAGTAGGCATCGAATTGGGTTTGGTTCCACCAAGGATCATTCTAAAGTAATTTAGTACTGGCCAATTCGAAGGAAGACTAATAAGTCTTCTGGAATTTGAGCTTACGGGCAAGATGTAGGTGTCGAAGGTATCCATGTCTACCATGGCATAGATACCAGCGTCGGCCAAAGCGGACATGCAACCGTCATGGTCCGCTTTTGCATCGACGTGATAGACACGAATAGTGTTGGCACCTAGTTTCTTCATGAGCGACGCATCTCGCTTACATTGCTCAGCATCGATCAACGGGTCCTCTGAATAGAAGTCAGTATTATAAAACGATTTGTTTCACTGAATTACGCGTGTTTCGGGGCTTGAACTTACTCTCGGTGAGTTGATAAGCAACTCCTTTTATAAAGAATTGATCGCCATCGCTTGTGAAGAACTTGCCGCCGACTGCCTCAACTGTCGGTATGGCATATGACAGCGTAGCGCTGCATAGCGCTAGAAGTAGTGAAGAGCGCATGGTATTGGATCGAGAGCGACTGTACGGTAACAATGTAAATTATGATGTTTGAAAAATACTTGTGAAGCTCTTGATAAAATCCTCCACGGTTCTGCGACTACTGGAAGAAAGCTTGAATAGCAACGGTGGTCGAACGAGTGTGAGTCGAGTCGTTAGGGATGAATCCTGATTAGCGAGGGCCAGAAAGAGTATCAATGTCCGGAGTCGAAACGAATGCGCTCCAGATCGAACTTGGCAACGAACGGACAAGCGAATGTTTATGATTTCCCCTTTTCGATTTTGACTCGACCAAATCTCTGCGGCTCTACTCCTCCGGAAGTAAATCACGGATAACACGGGATGCGTGGAGAGAAAAGAGAAGGTTGAAGAATCCGGAGAAGAAGAGGCTTGGAAATATTGAGGTGATGTAGTGTACCTAATGTAAGGTCTCGTAGGTCTCAGCAGGGAGCAATCCTAGCCTGTACCTACATATCAAACGCACTACTACCGTAACTAATCGAAGAAGCGGGACCTTCTCCTAAGCAACCCCTTGTAAATATAAGAATATTTACCTTGATTTTGGGGAAGCTTATGCCAAGCCTGGCATAAGCTTCGATCTAATAGGCTGATAGGCCGATTGGCAGCCACTGTCAGCGAATGAGAGACCAACGGCTTTAGACCGAACTGGAGCTTGGCATCGGTTTGTAGATAAGATTTGGGGCTTTCTACATACATACTAGTGTGCATATGTAAAGGTCGGAAATCAAGGATAAGAAAGGATCGACAACGCCACCCCCCTGTCATTTGTCCCGGCGAAAAGAAAATTCAGAAAGAACGCCTCCTGTCGATTGGTGACTATTATCTAGTACTATGTCACTAATATACGTAGTAAAACGTAGACGCGTATGCTATAAAACTCGAGCAATGAAGACATTGGCTCAAATATCGTATGCATACCTAGTAGAGGTAGGTGTTGCTGCAAACGGCTTTGAGAGTTGCATCATTGTTGGTTCATTATATCATGGGGTTCCGTGTTTCAGACTTTCCATTCAGATGTGCTGCTCATGATAGGAGATATTTGGGGGGGATTTACATATGTACCGTTGCACAGATCTACTACATACATTACTTGGGCTGCTTGGGTTATGTATATGTAGTTTGCAGGGATATGCAATGAATCCTTCAAGCAACCGCATGGCGCTTGAAGGACATTATTGATTTGCATACCTACCCTATATAAAAGGTAGTTACTTTCATCTTTAATACTTTTATACCTTCACGATGTTGTGTGGAATAAGGTTAGATCCGAATTGTGGCTTTCTGATCAGCCAAGCATTCGGGAGTATTCTTAATTGCTTACTTGGACGGAGTTAACCTAAAATGTAATAGAGTCAACTAAATACTGATGCGGGTTCAACAACGAAGCGCAGGCATGCCTCCTAAACTACCCGCCTATTTGTGCATCATGACGTAGTGAAAGGATAAACTTAGGTATAATATTTATTATAATGTTTATATATGTGGTAACGTGAATTCGGGTAGCATATTTCCCTTAAAACAGTAACCCGTAAATAGATCTTATAAACTAGAAACAGATGCATTCCTCGTTTACTTGCCACGCTCTGAAGTATAGTTGGATAAAGCCTCGGTGCGAATAGAAACATACCTTATTATTTTAGGATACGTTGCACTACTTTTTATATCTTCCGATTGTAAAATGTAACAATAAATATAGTAGTACGGATCCGTAGTAACAGAACAAATATCCCTATGGGTTGTGTACATGGCAGATAAGAGATGCAAAATGCTATCGATAAGAACGTCGATAAGCCCGATAAGACTTATCTTAGTCGAGCAGATGGTGCCAGCCGGCAAAGTGGGATATGAACCTTGAACTTTTTTTTCTTTCCTATCGCATTCAATGCGAAATCAGCTTCAATATTGCGATATCTTCGTGCTTCGCAATTATGGTAGGTCGCGCATCGCGTCTGCTTGCACTGTAGCATTTCTAACTCCTACTATAGAAGATCAAAGCATTAACCCGTTCAACGGAGGCGTACCAACCCGCCGGATCTGATGTTCCGAAGGTAAATTCTCCATCTTGGAAAACCCTACACTTTGTTGTTCATGTCTCTTACTAGTTTCAAGGCACCTCGCAATCTAGACCCGGCGATTCATCCGTTCGAGAGAGCACGAGAATATACGCGTGCACTCAATGCCGTAAAGCTAGAGCGCATGTTTGCTCAGCCATTTATCGCACAGCTTGGAAATGGACACGTTGACGGCGTTTACTCCTTAGCGAAGGATCCCAATTCTCTCGATAGATTTGCCTCTGGCTCGGGTGATGGCGTTGTAAAATGTTGGAGCTTGACGAGCAGGGATCAGGTCTGGAAAACAACCGCTCACGAGAATATCGTGAAGGGCATGGCCTGGACGCCAGATCAGAAGCTTCTTACGTGCGCGGCTGATAGGTCGGTAAAAATCCACGACCCTTATAATACACGTGACGATTCGCCGCCCATTCACTCTTGGCTCGGTACGGATGCCTTCACAAGTTTGAGTGTTCATAGAGCGAAGAATGCATTTGCGGTCTCTTCCAATGTCATATCTGTCTACAACCTCGACCAGTATACAGCTGCGCCAGAGGTTCTTCGCTGGCCCTCGTCTGGCGAGACAATTAATTCCGTCTCCTTCAACCAAAGCGAGACTTCGGTTCTCGCATCTTGCTCTACAGATCGCTCGATTATCTTATACGACCTCCGAACAGCCTCGCCACTCGCACGCACTTTTCTCAACTTTAGCTGCAACAAACTGTCTTGGAATCCGGTGGAGCCGATGAATTTTGCAGCAGCGAGCGAAGACCATAACGTGTACCTGTTTGATATGCGCAGGTTTGACCGAGCATTGAACGTACTCAAGGATCACGTGGCGGCAGTGATGGACGTGGAGTTCTCTCCGACCGGACAAGAGCTCGTTACAGCCTCATATGACCGGACGATTCGACTATTCAACCGAGACCAGGGTCATTCAAGAGATGTATATCATACGAAACGAATGCAGCGAGTTTTCTGCGCTCGATGGACGCCAGATTCCAAGTATGTTCTAAGTGGATCGGATGACGGAAATATTCGCCTTTGGAGGGCAAACTCGTCCAAACGAGAAGGTGTGAAATCCGCAAAACAGCGACAAGCACTCGAATACAATGAAGCATTATCCGAAAGATATGGTCACATGGTATGTTTCAAACGTGTTTTCTATCTTGATAAATATATTATAGAATTATGTGCTAACATAGGTGACAACAGCCTGAGGTAAGACGTATCAAGCGTCATAGACATCTTCCAAAGGTTATCAAGAAGGCAAGCGAGATTAAGAAGGAGGAACTCAAGGCTATCAAGCGGCGGGAAGAGAATGAGAGGAAGCATACAAAGAAGCAATTCGAAAAGAGGAAGAGTGAACGTGATAAGGTAGTCCTAGCGCGAGAGAAGTAATGGTGGATGACACTTGGAAGGAGGTAGTTGTCAGTCAGATATTCATGAAGTGCATTTACAAGGCGTTAAGGGGTAGGGAAGACTTCGATACCAGGCATGACATCGATAGGTTGCGTCCACATTCTTGCAACGGATCAAAATATATACTTACTGCAGATTTCTACTTTACTTCAGTAAGAGACAAAACCGAGTGACTAGATGTGCGCTAAAGTATATATATCAGGAGGCGACGGCGCCAAGTTGAATTACCCTAGCGTGCTAGGCGAGGATTATACACAATCTGGAGATCGTCTACTAAAACCACCTAGATGTATGTCAATAGTGGCTAGGATTTAAGCTTCATGAGTGCATGTACGAATATAAAATCTGTAGATAGGCCATAGTAGATCGTAAAAGCGCTTGATAACTCTTACATAGCGAGACCCCTGTTATTTAGGTTAGATGGGTACAGCCGATTGGCTGAGTGTAATTGGAACCTGCCTTAGCCGAAACTTACGACGCTTGGGCCATTTGTTTCAAGCGCCTAGGAGAAGCTGAGCTGGAAGTTGCGACGACTGATGAGACTCAATTTATGATTGTGGACACGGGGCCGGTCCATTGATTTTTTATAGTTCCTTCATCCTATCTTCTATCATTCGATTCATCCTTTCTTACAAAGGACACCTACATGTAATTAGAGGTGTATACCTTTCTTTTCTCTGTATTATTCGAACTTTGAAGTGCTTGCTGGCCAGCATTCGTCTCCTCAACTGTCCGATACCATGGATCATCCTCGACCATCAGCACACGAATCGTGGTGGGCACCCATCTCCGTCGATGTCCTCCTCAAGGTCCTCAACGTTACGCTGCTACATCCCTTCGTAGCATGGATCATTCCTCTCTGCTTTCGCGCCGAGCACCAGGCTTGGAACACCAACCCTATGGTAGTTAGCATTGCGTGGGCTACATTCGTCACTTTCCTATGGATGGGAAACGTTATAAGTCATAAGATCGCGTATGGAATGCACCGGGAGGTCGACTTGACTGAGGAGGTCATTGTAATAACGGGCGGTGCCAGCGGTCTTGGCCTGTTAATTGCTGAGGTATACGGCATGCGAGGTGCTACCGTTGCGGTTTTGGATGTCGCCGAGTTAGAAAGTACGGAAGCCCGCGGCATTACTTATTATAAGTGTGACGTACGAGATAAGGCACAGATTGCTAGAGTTGCAACAGAGATAGAGCGCGATGTGTGTATTATCTTCTACTGGTGCGCATGTGACTCAACTAATATGATTTCCAGCTCGGAACACCTACCGTCTTAATCAACAATGCTGCCGAGGTTGTTGGCAAGAAGCTGCTCGATATGGATCTAGAGGAAGTCGAGAAAAGCATTACAACGAACCTCCTATCTCACTTCTACACTATCAAGACGTTTCTGCCGGGGATGATTCGTAATGAGACCGGCGGCACTATTGTAACCCTCTCTAGCGTTATTGGTCACCTCGGTGCAGCTCGGCTCACAGACTACGCTGCTGCCAAGGCAGGAGTGACGGCTCTGCACAAGTCTCTCGCTGCCGAGCTGCAGGAATACCCGGAGATAAAAACCATCCTCGTTACGCCGGGCCAGCTAAGCACACCACTCTTCTATGGCGTGAAGACTCCCAATCCTTTCATCGCCCCGGTGGTCGAGCCCATAGACGTGGCCAAGGAGATAATAAAGGCTATCGATCTCGGCTTAAGCGATCACATCGGTATGCCCCTCTACGCGCGCTGGGTGGATTGGTACAACGTATTGCCAGTGGGTCTCCAAAAGATTGCGCGGAAAATTTCCGGCGTAGACAGCGGTATGACTACGTTTATAGGTCGTAGGGGGACTCAGCTGAGCGAGAAGAACGGGCACTTGATCTAGCATCCATCACGAATCGGCTGGTGGTTCAATAAAGGTATTTGGCTTAATGGGAGAGATATTCACGATCATAATACAAACCAGACAGTAGAACGCTGGCGTCCGCGAGTCTGTTAAAATGTAATGGTAGTAATGTGTAAGGGGGATGTTGTGTAGTAAAAAGAAAGAGCACGCGCTTCAATATGAAGTTGATCGTCAACAAGATTTCCTGAAATGCGAAAGAAGTCTCTCCCGAGACCATACACGGATCTTGCAGTGGACGTCTGTATAACTGGCTAGTTAGCCCGCAGTTCAACCTCCGTGTTCTAATAAGCAACTGCCCGTGCTAGAACCATCTACCAGATCAGAAACTGTGCCCGCGTCCCGATTAGGAGAAGGAGACCGAAAGTTACCAGTCACAATGCCGAATGTTGTGGCTAGCCATTGATATCCTTAGCTTTGATCGAGCATATTAGGCATGTTGCACTGCATATGATATTCGCAGTGCCTCAAGCTCTGAATGGGTAGGTAGGTCGGCCCGAGTACCTCTAACAATGCCACCAAGGCTTTGGAGCCCACGCGGCAGCATGCAGAAGCTGCGTATAGATGGCTTATCAGGTTCGCCTTTCGGCTCGCGTCCGCTCCCGGTGTTAACGGTCGACGACGTCATAATAGAGATGCACGGGCAGAGTGGCTCTAATAAATTAATATATTTCTTCAAGATTTCCACACCGGGCTCCAGGATACCAAGTACTTGACGCTTATTGGAACATGTGTAAGTTAGCCAAGGATTCGAAATGCCTACGGTGCTATAAAGGAATGCTGATATAATATCAAATATTATATCGAGTAAGCTATGTTATAATTTAAAATAGCCGAGTAATATACAATACTTGGTTCCATGGTGGTTAAATATTAAAGCAACGTACGAACCTGACTCTTTTCAGCTTTTTAAGTTAATCATGTCGTGTAAACTTAGGTACCTTAGGTACCTCTCAAGGTAACGATTTAACAGAATATTAAAGCACCTTGTTTTTCTAATTATATGTACCTATAGGAGCCTTTCCTTCTCACCTGTTGGTCACGAGTTGAACCTGTCAGCCTCGATGTTAAACATGACACATTCAACCTATGGCTTTCAAGTGTAACCTATAATACCCGAGATGAGATAGTTACACTACATAAATTGGAGGCCTTTTCACACAAAATAAATAATAGTAAATGTAATGGAAAACTACTCATGCAAACAAAACACGGTCTAAATATTAGAATGGTGCCGTGTCTACATGTCTATATACTCGTGTAGTACTATAGTAGGTAATCTATCTTAGATACACACCGAGTATCAAATTTCTTTAAAATACTACATGTTATGATCATCCTGGCAACTCTTTTAATCTATCTTGCAGGAGGAAGATAACTACATAACATGTGGGGTTTGAGTAGAGGCAAACACGTGAACAAAACCTTAAACATGGCTTCAATGTAAAGGAAGGCTGAAAATGGATAGTAGCAATGTCCCATGTATATTAATCCGATAGATATATGACCTTAGAAAGGAAGGAAAGAATATGATAGACAGTTGCATTTGATAGAGTCGAAATAGAAGCTACCAAAAGGGGGTTGAATAGCGAAGGAAGTCACAACTTGATAGGTCTAGCCCTCGAGACGGCTGTTAGTCATCCGTCAGGGGGGGGGGACCCCAGAAGGTTCCTTTTTCCTTTTTTCCCTTTTCCCTTTTCCCTTTTCCCCGCACTCGTTGAAGCTTATCGTAGCTGAACATCAATAATACCTACATAGTACATGTACCAATGCGAAAACACCAAGCAACATGATTTTAAACGCGCCAACTCCAACTCACCAACCAGCAAGCTAGGGCCTGCGATGGTGCTAGCCTACCACAAGTGCGGTTCTAAAAGATAAGAATCACCTCAGATGTGATTACTATACTAACCCCGTTATGTTATCCTGCTTTAAGGCTGCCAAGGACCTCAGATCCTATGCGCTTCATCACCACGCCACCGATGATAATATGTATGTATGCTCGTCAGCTATCATATCCCATATTTCCCTTGTGACGGGCATGGACCGCACCTGCATATACATACATCGGATATACGGGAAACGATCATCCTTTCGATATTAGGACCATGATGTCGTACCGTGTTCCGTCTGGCTGAAGACAGGTCACAATGTCTCTGGTTGCCAAGTGTCCAAGAGTCAAACACACTGGGGAGAGAGGAGTTGAACTACAGTAGAAATGCGTGGGGGGGGGGGGACTGGCGGGGTCCGGACTCTCCTTCATTCGACAAGGCACGAATACATCAGTGCGAATACATGCATGTCGTCTCTATTACATTCTAACCTCAAGTTCGTCTGTGACCCGATTCAGGCTATTAATATATTCCTGCTGGCTGCCACAAATGGGGCTTCCGGGGAGACCGTTTTTGGGCGGTATTATTAGACGCCTCGAGCTGCATCTACATTGAACCCACGAGAGCCTCTTAAGCATATCCCCCTATTAGTGGCGTTTTACCGGGGTGTTTTTAACTTCAGGATACTAAAATATCTCTTATCTATTGCCTTAGGCTCGACCAATCACACACCTTAAAGCCAACCAATATTCGCCCTAAATGGCCACCAACATGATTTGCTAAGTACACAAGGTAATCAGTATCTAGCAGCAAAGGCGAAGGGTTCCAATCATATGCGCGCTTTTGCTTAGATGCTTCTGCTTGGACAGGCTTTACTACGCAAACTATGGAGCTTAGAAGTATATGCTCTGAGTACTTATCCGAAAAATATCGCCCCCAGGCAACATTTGCTTTGTGCTGACTTACCTGTATGTTGCACCTCTGGCGGGCGTCCTCGGTCGGGTGCCGTGTCGCATCTGATTGTAGATCCTATAAACGGGCTACGCCCCTGTATTGCTTACACCACCAACCTTGAGCCCCATCGAATCTGTCGCAATAATTTACAACCCTTATTACATGCGATGCTCGACTACATTAACTGACTGGACTGATCTAGGGTGGATCTAGGGTGTAATGCTACCCTTGTTCTATCTATGGTAGCTATGTGGTGGGATTCGTCGCGGATTGAAGCGACTGTCACTCGACAGTTTGTCTGTTCACACCTTCTTCCCGAGGAGATAAAGCGGTTGGACTTACCACTGGGCTTCGGTGATGGATTGACGGATGGGACCTACTGGGAATGGATTGACGAAAAGGCCAAGCGTATCTTTCTCATTCTTCTAGACCTAGGTGTCCCAGACCAGATCTTCGGACTTATCGACGATAGTTGGGACGACGATGACCTCCCAATTCCCCTCGACCAGATCGAACGGCTGGCGCTTACGCTCACCAGAGACGACAAACTTGAGAGGAAGTTTTATTCCCGCCAGTTTCACTATCTACTCAAATTCGTAGAAAGGGGCGACTATATAGTATACGAAAATCCCGAGATCGTGCCTCTTACCGTCGATAAGCGCCCCGGGCTAAGCCTTAACAGCGTTGCGGATAGAGTCGAGTTGGCAAATCGACCTGGGGAGATCTTCTCTCGGCGTCGCATTCCGATCGGAACGGGCCCTGGTCTGCTAAGCGAAAAGGAATTCTTCTACGAGATCGACAGGGCAAGGAATATTGAAAACAACCATGTCATGTCTTATTACGGATCGTATGCCCATCAGGGCGTTGTCTATGTTCTTTTTACTCTCCCAAGCGATTTCAGCCTCAGATCCCTTTTAGTAACAACGCCAAGTTCGGTGAAGTCATTGGCCAAGCAGGATCGACGGTGTCTATTCATGAATTGGATTCATTGCCTTGTTGACGCACTGTGCTATCTTCATAGTTGCGGACTATCCCACGGCAGAATAAAGCCCTCGACTATACTTTTCAACAACAACAATCATGTCTTCTATTCAGACGTGACCCATTTAAGCGCAGAAGCGATAGCCACTACGTCGGACAGATCAGCCTTCGACAAAGAGTCTTACGACTACGCGGCTCCTGAACAGTGGTATCGACCGTCAACTAGTCACGGCCACCGAAGAAGTACTCTCGTTGCTTCCTCAGGATCAACATCGTCAGATAACTCGTCGTTCTCTATTAGTAGAGGGAACTCGGAAACTGGTTCGATGCTCCACTCGCCGACACCTTCCCTCGACCCTCAGGCAGTTGACATCTTCTCGCTAGGATGTGTGATACTTGAATTGCTAAGTTTCCTAATGAAACGCCAGACCCGGTCCTTCGCCTCGCATCGATCTGCAAAGCATAAGCAAGCCGGCCGAGGAGGGGCAGTTTTGGACTCGTCATTCCATAAAAATCTAGGACAGGTTGAATCATGGATGGCTGGCCTCGCTAAGGATGCATCGAAAAAGGATGACCAAGTGTTCCGTGGTATGGCGCCTATGCTGCAGGTGGTGGCAAGAATGCTTTCAATAGCCCCCCACGAGAGGCCGACGGCTCAGGAGGTCGAGCAATGCACATACAAAATCCTGACGGAGAATTGCCAGATTTTAGAGCCGCATTGCGTCCACCAATATAACGGTTGGGATTTTGGATTCGGCAACATGCATATCAGCGGAGGGGGCGAGGGATTTAATATTGCTGGAAAGAGGCATAGCGGTCCAGCGGTGTCGAGTTACTCTCGATCGGTTTCTTACCGGCCGATGAGCGGCAGCTCCATTCAGGAGATGGATATGCCTGGCGGTAGCGGCTCTCAAGCTACCGACGGCCGGGTAAACAAGGTGCGCACTTGGCAGGCTCAGGTATACTCAGGTAATGATTACATCCCAAGTACTAATCTGACGTAGAGGGGTAACTGACATCGTGGCGTGTCATGACAGAAACGACGAGCGTTTGACGGTCTTGGAAAAGGCTGAAGGATAAAAAAAAAAGGGGGGGGGGAGGGGGGAAGGAGGGAGAGGACTACGTATTAGTACATACACATAGGAGTTGCGAGACCTTGGGCTTAACACGGATAGGGAAGATCTCGGCGGCGCTTGTGGTAACCCTCGTTTTGAAAGAAGAAGAAAAGGGATGGGAGAAGAGGGTTTACTTGGTATAATGGATACTTATCTTATTGGAATATTTACAGTGTGGATGACGGGCTATGAGCTTATTACGCTCAACAAGGAGAAGTGGGATGAATTTCGGTACCAGTCCAACTTAAACGAAGTGTTATAATCAATCCTACAGCATTATGGAAATATTGCGTATTGATATCAGCTGTATTAACTCAAAGGCGGCGTTGATGGTAACTCGTATCGATGATGATGATGTGCTATTTTATATATATATATAAAAAAGTACCTAGGTACATCCAGCTATCTTAGGGAAGTCGGGAGCAAGAGGGAACGGAATGGTGGGTTATTCCGTACTAGCATTTCAGGCAGTCTGGAGCTGCGTCAGTAGGTATCCACTTTATCACCTAATCGCAAGGCTGGAGCTGCAGTGGGAAACAGCGGGCGAGTTGAGTTGAGTTGAGTTTCCGAGCTTCAGTTTGTACCGGTTTGTACGTACCCTTTTCAATAATTCCTGCTCATTTGAACAATTGAACAACGTCCTTTACTACTTCTGTATCAACTGTTCTATACCAATTCGAACCCACAATCCGACACTCGAGAGTCCCCTTACCTTACTATAATTCGAGTTAATCTCAACTTGCATCTCGAGCACACGCCGGTCAATATGGCTTCGCAGAAGCCGTCTGTGAAGGAAGCGCAATCGCTTGCCAGCTCCGACCCGCGAAAAGCTGAAGCTATCTACAAAGACATCATATCCAAACCTCCCTCTGTTACTTCAGATGCAGCAATAAAGGAATACGAGTCCGCCTTGATAAGTCTAGGAGAGCTGTACCGGGATGAGAAGTGAGTTTCGGCTTTAACATTTCTCTTTTGCGTCTAGAAGCTGACATTTGTGCCTAGGAAACCCAAGGAACTCGTCGACCTTATTACCACGAGCAGAACCGTCCTTTCGAGCTTCGCAAAGGCTAAGACGGCCAAGTTGGGTATGCTCTAGCTCCTCTTCGCCCTTACTGTAAATACAAGCGTCTCTCTAACACCACTTCAAAATAGTCCGTCAGCTGCTCGATCTCTTCGAAGCCATCCCAAACACAACCGACATCCAGATCGCCGTCACCAAGTCATGTATAGAATGGGCCACCTCCGAGAGGCGGAGCTTCCTACGCCAGAACCTCGAGACCAGACTCGTTACCCTGTATATGGCTAAGCAAGCATACTACGATGCCCTTACCCTTATCAACGGTCTCTTGCGGGAGCTGAAGCGTCTGGACGATAAGTTAGTATTGGTAGAGGTTCAACTATTGGAATCTAGAGTATACCATGCCCTCGGCAACAACTCCAAGGCTCGTGCCGCTCTCACCAGCGCGAGGACGAGCGCCGCCTCGGTTTACACGCCTCCCTTACTCCAAGCGAACCTAGACATGCAGTCGGGTATGCTACACACCATGGACCAGGACTTCAACACGGCCTTCTCTTACTTCATCGAGGCACTTGACGGCTACCACACGCAGGACGAGCCAGCTAAGGCCACCGCCGCGCTGCAGTACATGCTGCTCTGCAAGATTATGCTTAACCTCGTCGACGACGTCAACAACCTGATGGCGTCCAAGCAGGCGCAGAAGTACGCGGGCCAGAACCTCGAGGCCATGAAGGCTATCGCGCGCGCGCACTCGAACCGGTCTCTGGAAGAATACGAACGTGCCCTGTCCACGTACCGCTACGAGCTCGGCAGCGACGCCTTCATCCGCAACCACCTGCGTCGCCTCTACGACGCTATGCTCGAGCAGAACCTGATCAAGGTCATTGAGCCCTTTAGCCGCGTCGAGATCGCCCACATCGCTAAGATGGTCGGCCTCGACACTCAGCAGGTTGAGCGCAAGCTCTCCCAGATGATCCTCGACAAGGTGATCATCGGTGTGCTTGACCAGGGCGCCGGGTGCTTGATTATTTTCGACGAGACGCAGCGTGATGAGTCTTACGATGCGGCTCTCCAGACCATTGAAAAGCTGAGCAATGTCGTGGATGTCCTGTACACGAACCAGGCTTCGATGCTGGAGTAGACCTGTGAAGGGAGAGGTTTTACGAATGTGAATTAGGCAAATAAGAAAGTCTTCTTCGTGCATCTAACGCCGAAGGAGGCGAATGAAAGCTCGGCCGGTGTAATATTACTAGGTAGAGAAAGTATTAGGCCAAGGCCCCGGCGTCGATGAAGACGGCGTTGCGGCTTCTCTGGCACTCGTACATATATCAACATGAACTTGTGTCAATTTACGTGTATGCGTGCTGTCTGTCTTATCACTCGCCTTATTGTTTTCTTCGCCCCTTGGTAACACTGGAATATTCGAAGATAATCTTGGTCAACCTTGCTTTTCCATAAACGTAGCAGATATGTATAGATACGTAAGGTAAATGTCCAATTACGAGGTGCAATGAAGATGAATAGAAGGGTATCTAATTAATACAATCTCACTGCCTATACATTTGCCAATCCTCCTTTTCCGCATCCTAACGCCTCCCGAATGCAAGTATATGGTATAGCATGTATGCTTGCCCGCCCGTCCGCCTGCCTGCCTGCCTGGGCCTAGAACGCCGGCTATGCATACATACATCCAAGGTTGGGCTATGTACAGAGATAAACCAACGGTATAAGAGGTAAGTAATAATACTCCGCCAATGTGATGTGATGCGATATGATGCGATGCGATGCGATGCGATGCGATCTAACATGCTCGCCCCCCTGAGATAAAGTAACCAGACCGGACCAAGTGCTAATCCCACCAAAAAAACCCGCTATGTAATCATCACGTACTCCTCCCTTTTGCTTTGCTCTCTGTCCTTAACTTGGGGTATATGATAGAGCATATCAGCTCTTCGCTTTCCAACACCCTTATCAAACAACTCGTCACTCCTTTTCCTCCCACCTCCTAGCCACGTAGAGGCGCATTTTTTTTAAATAACAACTAAGCTGAAGCTTAAGTCTAAGCAACAGCCTTCCCCTTCCCTTTATCCACCCTCCCAGCCCTTCCGGTTCTCCTTCTCTCCTCACCCACAATCAGCGCAAAAATCCTCTTCGCAAGCGCACTCTCGCTCCACCCACCGACTTCGCGGGCGAAGGCCTCTACGACCTCGATATGCCACTGTTCTAGGATCAGGCTCTCGCCCTGAGCCGCGACTTCTTTCCCTATGAGAGCCGAGGCGTTGGGGGATGGGGGTTGGCGACGCCACCAACTCTGCACCCATGACTGTTGCTTCTGCTGCTGCTGCTGCTGTTGTTGTTGCTGCTGCTGCTGCTGGAAGGCCAGGGGGTCGTAGCGTCGTAGTTGGAGGAGCTCGTCTAGACGCACCCAGTGGTGGCGGGTCCATTCTGTTTTCGATAGGGCGAAAGCGGTAGGATGGCGGGACGGGGACCGCGCGGTGGATTTGCTATTGCCATTTTGCGGTAGCATCTGTATGGGAGGATGGGTGGTGATAGGAGACGTAGCGTCGGTGCTACGACTTGAGGATGACGAAGAATCCGTTGACTCGTCGTGTGTGTTTTCGGGGATGGGTCGGAGAACGGTCCCTTGTGAGACTATGTTATTCCTGGCGCCGTTTTGCTGATTCACGACACTAGTTTGAGCTTGGGCAGTGGAAGAAAGCGCACTAGGCATAAAAGCCACAACCCGGCCCGGGGTAGTAGGTTTCATGGGGGAACGGAAGCACGACTTGGACGGCGAAAGCGTCCTGTCCCACCGGGATGGGACGTCCCTTGGTGGGAAGCGCTCATAGTCTGTCCCGTCTGTCAAGAGCGATGAATCCTGCTGCTCTTGCTGTTCATCGTATTCGTCCTCGTCCTCCTCATCCTGCTCATCCTCCTCATCCTGCTTGTTCTGCTCGTCCTCGTCTTGCTCATTCTGGTCATCGCTCGGCAGTAGAAGGAGGTCCTCGTCTGCCTCGTTTCTGCTGGGGAGCGGTCCGCTTCTAAATAGAGACAAACTAGACTGACCTGGTCGCGGCGTGAAGTTTCTTTTCTGCTCGATTGGCGGATAGGCCTGGCGTTCAGGTGTTGAGGGGTGAGGTGAGGGCGAAGATGACCGTTCGGGTGATTGTTGTTCAAGGGACTCTTCAGGTGACGGTTCAGGGGACGGCTCAGGTGATTGTTGTGACTGCGAAGAAGGAGGCTCGGGAGAAAGTGACGGCGCAGGGGAGGGCGAGGGCGAGGGCGAGGGCGAGTTTTCTACATAAGATTCTTGCCTTGTCTCATTAGATTGTGAAGGAGGTGCCGGTGGGAACATGTTTGTTCGTGGTTCTGGGCTCGGTTGAGATTCCATTTGCGGGATCGAGGAAAATAATCCTGTAGACCAAAGGGACCTCTGCGGTTCCTTAGGGGGTTGACTTGTCGTTTCTTTGGGTAGTGGCTTTTGGAATACAGGCTGGGCGACCTTTTCGGTTATACCAGTTGCATTTGCTGGCCCAGCTTCTGGGGTCTTCTTAGGCAATGCGGCCGGTGATGAGAAGAAAGACAAGATATCAAAGCCACCGAATAATCTAGATTTAGGTTTCTGTTGAGTAGCTGGAGCAGCCTCTGCCCGCTGTGCTAGCATTGAGTACTCAGACGCTTCTGCGGGCTCCACAGCCTTCGCGGGCACTACAGGGTTTCTTGGTTCTTCACGTGCTGCTGGCTCTTCTGGTTCTTGTGACTCTACTGACAGTTCCCGGGCCTCTGAATGTTCCCGAGACTCTGACTGCTCCTGGGCTTCTAGCTGTTCCTGTATTTCCTGTTGAGGGCTTAGAATTGGTTGTTCGGCTTCAGGAGACGAGCTCTCAATAATGCGAGTAGCCTCGGAATTCCACCCCTGTAGTATAGAGTGAGCATCTGATGCCCGCGGCCTTTGACGCACTAGCGGCGCATCTTCTGCCTCGCTCTGCGGATTCTCCTCAATTTCTATTTGAGAAGAGCTTGCAATCTCTTCGCGGTAAATGAGGCGTCTGCTAGTTTTTCTCCAGGGACTTGGAACCTTCGTCCGTCGCGTGGGTTGATCGGGGTGCTGTGACGTACGTTGCGCGCGCTCCGGTCTCCTAGGTGTTTGCCTTGATGCCTCAAAGTCCCAGATGTCGTCTTCCTCTGCTTCGTAGTCTACTAGCGCACTATCTCCCTGCTCCTCCAATTCTTGTTCTTGTTGCTCTTCCACCTCGTGATTCGTGGCCTCGGCTGCTACGCGACTTGCATTTGAGCCGTAAGTGGCGAAACCACTTGGACTTTGGGGACGTATTGGCTGGGAACCTGAGCCTTGATTCACGTCTCGCTGATGATTGTTGTCATCTGCGACCCAGCTTATCCCATTATCACTCGACGGCATTGCTCTAGCTGAATTAGACACCGACTGATTGAATGAACGAGTTTGTTCCGGTGCTCGGTCATCAGTGTTATACATGATGTTTCTGGATGTTTCGGTCTGTGACCTATTGCGCATAGCTGGACCAAACGGATCCGAGGCATTGCCAATAATGTCACCTTGTGCTGATGATTGGCTATGAGAGAGGCTGGCCCTTCTGATTTGAGAGAGAGCAGCACTAGGACCAGATAAAGATCGAGGGTTGAATTGGGTCGAGACGCCACGACCAGATCGAGATGGCGATTTGGGTATAGATAGTTGGCCAGATTGATCCGATGGGAAAGGTTGCGAAGGGTCATTCGTAGCCGATCCTCTAAATGGGCTTCCGAGACTACTTTCACGGCGTTCGGGAGATGGTCTGTCTGACATCACATCTTGGAGGGTTCGTCCGACGCGTACGATCGGTGAGAGCGATGGCCTACTATTAGGAGGCGGTTCTAAAGCTTGAGGAGGCTCCGTAGCTGCTTTGGCAGAAGGAGGTAGTTGGGGGGAGGAATGCTGTAATTCTGGTGTGTTGTTGTTATTAATCTCTTGGTCTAACCGAGATGGCCCAAAATCCATTGCACGTGGCCGATTCATAATAGGAGGTGAGGATTGGAAACCTGAATTAGAACTGGGACCAGCAATGTCTTCTTCTCTTGTAGATGGGCCAGCTTCATCTTCCCGGGCCTTCTTAGAACCAGCATTAGAAGACGACGTATCATCGGGAGTCGGTAGTCTGCTCGATCCAAAGCTAGGTCCTGCCTGTCTATTGGCAGAGTTGACTTGTCCATCAACGACCGGGGCTTCCATATGGCTCTCCTCCGTAGACCTTCCAACTCGAGTCGCTGGCTTCGGGGTAGCAGCCTCGAGAATAGCGTCTGAAATTTCGGAAAATTCATCCTCATACACAGTGGTGTCTCCGTGTTGTTCTACAGCAGAGGTCGGCTTCATAGGCAAACGTCCCGGCGTTGCTGCTTTGAGAATACTATCCGGAAGACTCGAGAAGGAATCGTCTACATGAGGCGCTTTTCCTGCAAATACTTGCCGACTCAAGGGAAGTTGCCTTTGTCTTCTCGGGCTCCTCGTTCGTTCCTTTGGACTGCGACTACTACCCTCCGTCCACGAGCGATCCGGTACACCAGAATGATCTTCCTCCGTTGGTAAGTTGCTCCTCGTCGACCGTGCTAATGATTGTTCTGCTTCTGTTCGGGTACTGTTTCGCCATGACTCTAGCGTTTGGTTTATTATCATATTCGTCTCTTCGCCCATCTCCGGAGGATCCGAAAGGAGGGCACTTCTATTCGCCTGGAACGAGGGAAGTGATTCCACAGCGATCATGCTGAAGTCGGAGGCATGTGCGAGCGTGTCCTGTCCGCTGTGAGGTATCCCTTCGGTATTATCCAAATCCGACTCCACGTCACTATGGGCCTCCATCAATGCCGGGTAGTCATCAGACATACCGACATCGCTATTGTGCAGCTCTTCTTCTTGATATGACACTGCCTCTGATCCTAGATCTTGCCCTGTGCGCGACGTCTCATATAAGTTTGAGACATTCCTCGGCGTCGGTGTCCTTCCACTCGCCTCTATAATATCATCGATAAGATTATCGCTAGTCGTCACTTGCTGAGCTTCCTCTTTATCAGGCAAATCCAGAACTGGGCTCAGAGCTGACGGCGGTAGGTTTTCCGAATTATCGAAGACGGACTGGGCGGCATTATTATTGGCCACACCATTGTCTGATGCGTCGCCCGCATCTGCTAATATAGCAACCTCCTCTGGCATTGGCGCTTTTCGCGGGCGCCCGCGTTTCCTCTTGGTCGTATTGTTGGAGAGTTGCGACGACGGTATAACCTGGGTGGTGGATGTACTCTTAGGTGTCTTTCGTACCTTCGCCTTCGCCTTCGACGCGACCGAGTCTGCTTGTGGTCCAGTAGGTGTCGCATCCGCCAGACTAGCTTCAGATTCTAGATCGTTCTTCTGTCGCGTGCGCCGAGTCTCTTTCATAGGTGTGGCGGCCCTCTTCTTCCCCCTCGGCATGGGAGTGCCATTGCTTATCCGCCGCGGCCGGCCTCGTCGTCGCGGAGTAGCTTCGTTCTCTATCTCATCGTTAAGTGGTATCGTAGTAGTCATGATGGCTTCTCTACGACGGGGAACTCGTATCGGTGAAGATGATTGAAAGAGTCTTCGGTTGATACCCCGCTTTATGGCCTCTTCGGCCTCGACTGTGACGAGTAACCTTTGCGGTGCGAGCTCGTTGCCGACGTCTAGTTCGAAGGTTCTCCTCCTAGGAGACTGCCTCGCTGGTGAAGACCTCCTTATTTGGCTCTTCGGGATCGAAATGGCAGAGAGGTCGTGGTGTGTGAGAGTATTATCAGTATGTCGCGTATGTGGAAATGCCGAGCTTGGAGGTTCGTCGCCCAGCGGGTCAGGAGATGATAACGATTCATCCATGATAGCAACCAGCGATGGCGATAGATACTAGGCAGCTGGTGAACATAGGTTTAGAATGGAAGACAATTGAAACTAATGATGCAATTGGTATATCGGAGTTCGGTATTGAATGAACCTGGTTGTGAAAGATTCAATGCAAGGATAAGGCAGAATACGCGCCGGAAACTAACCTAACCGCCACCGAAAACCCAAAAGGAGCAATTTGTTTACTTTGAATTACTTTACTTTAGCGCGATCTGATAGGTCTCGTAAGGGCGTAAAGGGCAGGCTCGCAAGGCTGACAGGAACAGTAGCGCACTGACACGTGTACGTACCAGCGGGGCGGTTTTAAAAGACAACTGCTGAACCCTCGGCACGAGATCCACAAATCAATATGGGGGTCCGACGTCAGTAAAACTAAATCCCGAAAAGACGTTCTTAGCTAAGCAATCATTTCTAATCAATACAGGTATTAGTTATTGGATTTCAGTAGAACTACTGCGATGCTATAACGTCATCGTTCATAACGTTGAACCTATTAATACCTATGTACATGTTGTACATACGTGTATGCCTCGCATGCACGGGTACATTAGGTACACACGCTCAGATTATGTACCTATCGGCAAAACGCTGGGAATATTGGGAAAACTTCGGCTATATAAGTAAACTTCGAGGGGCGATGGCGTGCTCGGGATGTCAAAGCTATAACCTTGCAACTTAAGCACGCGGAGACGCAGTACATAAAGGACGGCAGATATAACCGCTTACGGAACTGCTCGCTTTAACGATTAGAGGCGAAGTTATACCGTAGATGTACACATCTTTACGCCCTGCATATGGCATATGACGGTCGAGTATCGGGGAATCTCCTTCGATCCTATCCGTTGATTACAGAGAAAGTATGCGGAAGGAATCCAATCATTCCGAGGCATCTCCCCCTGGTTGATACCATACTACTAATCAGGATCCCTTCCCCAGACCAATGACGTGATTCGAAGGTTCTCTCTATCGTTCGATTGATTTGAAATGCGCATACAGAGACCTTTTAGACAGCTAGGCTCCTGATGTCTATATAAGTCATACCCGACGTCGAAGTCGAAGTCGAGAATAGACAGTTATCATCATCCCATCCCATCCCATTCCATCCCATCTCATATCAAGCTTTCTCTTTATTGTCCAGTCTAGTCCTTTAAAGCTTATCTGGCGTAGCCGCCTTTCACAAATCTATATACCTAGCACCTAGCATCTAGCACCAAAAATGGCCATCACAGCCTCTACCGTGCCCCGCGGCCCCGTAACCGCCAAGATCAACTTCTATAACCGGCCAGCCCCCGGCGTCGTAGCCTTCAACTACGTAGACAAGCCACCAGCAGGCCAGCCCCAGCGCAACCTCACCAGTGACGCGCATGAAGTCACCGTCATCGATGTCCGGGGTCGGGAATCCGAGTACACGCTAGACCGGGACGCCTTCCAGATCGTGCAGGGGTTGCCGCCGTCAGCCGAGGAGACCGGGTCCGGCTCCGGATTTACGGACGATGCTTCTATCGCCGCGAACTACTACCCCGAGGTTGAGAAGCTACTACTCGACAACGTCCCGGGCAGCAACCGGGTCTTCATCTTCGACCACACCATCCGACGGGCTGACCCGGACGCACCGCGTCGTGCCGTGCTTATGGCACACATCGACCAGACGCCATACTCAGCCGAGAAGCGTGTGCGGCGACACTTGGGAGATGATGCGGAGGAGTTATTAAAGGGACGATACCGCATCATTAATGTATGGCGTACGCTAAACAAGAACCCCGTCGAGGCGACGCCCCTAGCCTTCGCGTCTAGCTCTAGTTTGAACGATGAAGACGTTATTCCCGTAGAGCACCGGTACCCGGAAGGGTATATCGGTCAAACAGCCGCTATTGCGTACAACCCCAACCAGAAGTGGCACTACCTCAGTGGCATGACAGGTGATGAGCGTCTATTACTCGAGTGTTTCGATAGTGAAGGTACCAAGGAGAATTCGGGTGTAGCCGGTGGACGATTACCTCATACTGCTTTCGAGGACCCTAGGACGAGGCCGGATGCAGAAGGGAGGGAGAGTATCGAGATACGGGCACTAGTATTCGGGCCTTGAAGATGTGTCAGTCAAAATCAATATTATACGAGTTTACGGTTCCCTTTGACAGTTAGGACACTTTAATAACAGTATCGTTCAGCATTGCTTTTTTTATGAAGGAATCGCTATATGTAAAAAATCCAAATCTAATGTTCCCGAGCGCCTATTCATGGATGGTGCCAATTCCTATCACGATCCGGGATATACCTAATCGACCAAGTCTTACTGTGCATGCATGTTGCTTCCTCCGCATGACTCCAGGCTTTATGCGTCCTGGGAGACAAAAAAAAACCCCCTTCCCGTAAACCTTACGGATATCCACACATAATACATAATAACGCTGGGGCGTATGATCTCTCTGCCCTATGATAAAACCGAATATAAATCAAAACAGAAAAAAAAACCCGTAATTAGGCCTTTCGCTTGCCCCGTGCACTTCCTGATCGACTCATCACAACACCTCCCAGACTACTCTGTCTGCTCATCGGAATTCCCGACGCGGAATCCTTCCCCACAGCTGGGGAGTCCTTAGCGCTTCCGCTGTTCTCTGGTTCGACACCTACGGCATCGCCCCTCATGTCACTATCCTGGATACCCAAGGATTCTGACAATGCGTCTGTGGAAGGCCTTGGACCCTGCATATAAGCTACATATTTGCTCTTATGTAGCGGCGCGGCCATAGACTCGAGTAGTCGCCGGCCACCATTATTAACATCAAGGTTGGCGCCAACACCGTGTTTGTTCTGGTATGTCTTCAACAGTTTCATCACCGCAAGATCTCTATCCCGCTCGCTTTCGTTCAAGGTCGGAGGGGTATTCGACTCGTCCCTTCTATAAGCCTTCGAGTATTGCGAATGAGTAAGAGGGGGGAGCTTAGGCTCCGAGCCGGCTACCTTATCGAGATTTCCCGGTATCTCGAAATTGGCTAGGCCTTCTATTCCCAGGACTTGGTCATCGTAAAAATTCTGTTGGCCATGTCCACCTCGGGTACTTCTCGTAGTATGTGAGTGCTGCCGCTCCATATTTACTGCAGCAGGTTCATCTTCATCGTCATTACCGTCTGCGACACTTTCGTCGGGAGTGATAATATTGCCGTTTGTGTCTCGGCGTATCAAGAGATGCTTGTGGGCTGCTAGGGCGGCAGCATTATAGGTCATGGCTAGTTCTTTATCGGTGAAAAGCTTGTCAATGCTATAGACTGGACCCGTCTCCCGACGTAGACCTCTGATTCTTTCGCTCGACCAGAAAGGCGTAGTATTGGAACTATCAAGAGCTCCTCTCTTGGGAGCTGGCGAACCCTCCTCATCGGCAGCATTTCGCTTCCTCTTCTTGTTGTCCGAGTAGCCTGGGAGCTCCTCCATCTCTCTTCGCAGTCGGGTATTTCGCTTCCCATGCGTTCCTCCAGGGCTTGCGGGGTTGGTGAGGCTGTATTGGTTCGGGTGTAGAAGAAGAGCAGAACCATCGGCAATATCCAGGGCTTCCTTTTCTTTGCCTAATCGGTACTTTTTAGAGGTAATACCATTAATAAGACGATCTCTAAGGGTGTTTGAGAGAGTCTTATGTTCACGCTTAGCTAGTTCGACTTTGTAGGCGTGTGTCTTCTGGTGTTCACGAAGCTTCCTCTCGTATTCAATCTAACAAATGTAAGCTTCCAACCACATGGATTATAGAGTTAGAGAGAGCGTGCCTTGTGGCTAGTCATCTCGTAGTCGCGATGCTCGACTAGGTCTTCTATCTGATGAACCCATTCAGAGAATGTAGGGCCTGCCATTTCGAGCAGACTTCGCTTAGGGCTACCATTACTACTAGCATTTGCAGTCTGTTGCGCATTGGTAGCATGCTGTATTTCTCGGTACTCGCGATCAATTGCATCCAGAGGTCGGTCGGCATAGGGATCGACTCGGCCGACAAGGTTAACATCGATTTGGATCTTATGAAGTTCGTCTCGGTAGTGTTTATCTTTGTCCCGGCTGAACTTGTCAGCCAAAACAGCTAGACGGTCATTTACAACCTGTCGCCTCTTATCGCGTTTAGACTGGGGCAGAGGAGACGTTCGGGTAGTCTTGTTAGAAGTAGCCGCCAAAGCTGACGACTGGGCAGATTCGGTTGCGGCCATTCTGAACTGATCAGGCCAGGGACGAAGCCTGGAATAGTCGATTGTAAAGGTTGGAAGATGAATGAGCTCGTAAAGTAGGGACTTTGGTTACTTGAAAGTATAAGGTATAAGAAGTAGAAGGTCATGTATAGCCGATTGAATTGTATAGAAAGAGGTGCAATTCAAACTGCGAACGTGGTAAAATGGTAAAACGCTTGAAGGTCAAGTTTTGCTTCGATGTTTTGTCAACAGAGGGAAAGTTGAAAAGGATAGGATTGGGAGGGAGAAACAAGATTTACATTGAGAAATGTTGGGCAGTAGTAGTTTAAACCTAACTGCGGTATGGGTATTGTGAATGTAGGTGTGTCTTGTCAATTGTTGAATGGGTGCGAGGAAAAAGGTCAGGCAGGTCGACAGCAGGATTGATCGATTAGATAGTCGCGAGCCGATTTCACTTACACACCTGTTGTGCGACCCTGCTCTAACTGTCTAACCAGCCTAGCTAGCGGAATCGGCAGGTACGGAGATACGTACCACAGGTACTGATATGCTGTATGAGAACAGGTGACGGACCTTGCAGATTTAGGCAGCCCCACTTGCCGAACTAGGATAATCTCAAGCTTTAAGTAGGAAGGAGTTACTTCTTGGGGTTAATCACAGAATCAAGAATCAAGAAAGAAAGCAACAGATTGATATTGTACAAGCTGCACGTACAGAAGGGAACGCAGACGGGGAATAAATGCATTCAGCCTCTTAGCAGATAACTTAAGCCCTAGTTATTATCAAATAACTTAGGCACTTCTATGTACCGGTATAACGGGTACGTACATAACGTAATTCCAGCCACGGATATTGAAGTAAATGTTGCTGAATACCAACAGAACCTATGCCTGAGGAGATCCTCTAATATGATATTCACATGGACATCTCTCCGACCATATATCGCGAGTCACAAATATTAGTAGCAAGTTAGTACTATAGTGACTGTAACCTAGCATCGCTCTTCCGTGATGCAAACACCTCCAGTTCAGACAATACTCCTATAAATCAGAGTCGTTTCAACCAAGATATTGCTCGTTTTACCTGCCTCCGCCTCCTGGGATATCAGTTTAAGCCACGGGCTATTAATGCTCTCCTTCATGATACATAGCTCTCCAAGCTACCTTGTCTTAAATCCAACGTACAACCAAGCTCAAACCACCAAGAGTCCCAGTCCAAGCGCGATTGTTCCAAAAACTCAACGAACTTTAAGCCCAACTACCCAGCCACCTATCCTTAGCGACACGAGACATATTCGTCGGAGTTGATATTACGATAAAGTGCTCTTTATTCGGCTGTTCTAAACCCGTAAAGCTATTATAGGGCAAGCCGACATACTGGCACTTATACTCGAGTAACTACTTTTGCTTAGTCTCTTCGTGATAAAATAATAAGCATCATACATATACTAACCTTCGACCGGTGTATCGCAAGGAAGGCAGCTAGTGAGAGCACCGTCAAGACTAAAACTATTGCGCGCCGTAATATAGGATTATGCTGTATGAGTTCGTGAAGATAGTCCTCGTCATCGCCGAACTTGGCTATAATTGTGGGATTTAGGAGCGACTTCGACATGGTGACGAGACTTATGGGCTTGTGATAGTAACATAGTTAGACATGATTTTCTACAGGCAGCTTATTGCGAGCTTTATACTTACATTGCACGCGTGATAGGGGATAGGGAGGCTGGTGGGAAAATTGAAGGGATGCAACATATTTGCAAAGGGCGGATCCCTGGGCTGTCCAAATAATAAACTACTATTTATAATTATTTATAATTCATCCCCTCATGCCATAAGGTTGATTTCGCAAAACTATTAGTATTTATTATGGTCTCTATGGACTAACTAGGCAACTACCCCTTAAATACAACGAAGTGCTATCGTGAATTCGGTTTCCTGTGCGGCCAAGTACTAGTCAGTAGGCAGTCTGACTACCACGTGGCCAGATGCTAAGCTATAAGCCCTATAGAATTGGTTGTTCACGTCGTTGATCAAAAGTCGGCCAAGTTCTCACATCTGGTATGCGGTGTATGAAGCAAATTACCCTGAAGTAGGACCAGTGCCTAAGATAGGTTGGTGGATCAAGGCTTAAAGAGAAACATGAGGTATCTGACTTACGGCACGCCCTACGAGTCAATCTTGACTCCTGTTGACATAGTGCCTTGAAGTTGCCTTGAAGTTGCCTTGAAGTATTCGGTTTAGTCTCTTATACTTGGACTAAGATCTATCCATTAAGCAAATCCAGAAGCAGATGCTTCTCGCAGGTCTTTAGGCACATCCCATCCGTGTGCAACTGCGGCCCGAATGTAGGCCTCCAACGCTTCGGAGATACCGTAGTCCATCCGGCGCCGATTTATATTGTCCAGGCGTGCTGGGTTGGGGTCCGTATTACAGATAGCTAAGCGTACTTGTAAGAGAACGCTTTCCAAACTGTTTGCCGGTGACCAGCCCGTGTTTGTTAGAAGCTCCATACACATAGCTCCACCTGCCGTGACATGGCCACCTCCACCGCTAGCGAACGGAAGAAAACGGGGGCGAACCACGCGAACAAATGGCGGGGACATGGGGAATTCGCGGAGAAAGCGGATCTCAAGGACGATGCTAGTTAGGCCAGCCACCTTCATGTCCTGCGCTAACGGGAGGTCGGGGTCGAAGGAGTGCAGCTCCACGATCCATTGGAACATATTGTTGATCTTTTCAAAATCGATATACCAGCCTAATTCATGAAGAGGTGTTGTGGATTGTACCTTCTCTAGCTTCATAATCTCCTGCCCGAGAGCCCTTTGAGCAGCCTTGGTTGCGTATGATGGAGGCGCTAGTTGTGGAAGAGTAGAGAAATCAAGCATCCCAGGGCGAAAATCAGTTTTATATATCTGGTCATTATGAGAGACTCCCTCCTTTGGGGAGAGGAACAAGATATCCTCTTCGTCTTCGTCGCTGCTGACCATCTCAAGATTCTCTGGCCCCCCTATACCATCTACCAATGATGCCGTCGAAGTATTGCATCCATATTGCGCCGAAGGAATAGCACATCTCGGAATAAACACAGATTGATTGCGAGGACCCGAAATGCGCCATGCTGGATCTTGTACGAACTTTGGCACCCCAGTAGGCGCCTTCTCGCTGGTATGTGAAGATTGAGGGAAGGCCGAAAGCCTGTCTTGTCTAGCAAGGATCCCAGCCGTATTCCCAGGCCCGTTCCGATCCGCCGCTGGTGTGGGCTGAACGAAAAGATACCTACACTGAGTCCAATGACAGTGTTGTACCACGAAGAAAGGATTTTTGCTTTTAAACTGCTCAGGCAGATTGACAAGCTCGTTTAAGCTGATGACGGCCCGAATCCCCAGGGAGGAGTTAGGCCATATAATTGACTAGGGGATAGTTAGTATAGTACTTTTATAACGTGAAGGTAGACTGAACTGCACTTACGGATTTATCATTCGTAGCCGTATAGCTAAGGCTAGTTTGAAACTGCCTGGCAAAATAGATACCGTCCCCATAACTTCGACCATGTAGGGTGATGTTATAGTTCAGACCCTGGCGAATAATACTATGCCAGTTCCCAAGGGCGCTCCCGTGCCAAGCAACAAGGGTCTTCTGCGGTTTATCAATACTCTTCAGAACCTCGTTGAAGCGGTTTTCCTTCTCTAAAGACCCTTGGGCGAATCTGAATTGGATCCAACCATCAACGCCATAAATCTTCTCGGGGGATGGAACAGCATCAGCATCCGTAGGACTTTCATCGTCCACCTGTACGATATATGACCTATTTGAAGCCATAATCCATCTTAGTAGATCCACGGCTGCCCGTGGCATTCTGTTCCAGTTGAACAGCTGTTGGTTGTCAATTAAATGCTGCTTCATGTCTGCGACCGAAGGGAAGGTAGCAAGTATAATTAACATGGAGAAAGCCTTGTCGTACACGCTTTGGATATCGTCTAAATCTGCATCGCAGAATACAAGATGACCTGGTATGATATCCCCTACGCTGGAACGGATGGTTTGACCATCAATTAGGCCAAATCCTAACGATGTATCGCTGTTCTGATGAGGTAATACATGTTGTACCATAACCTTGAGCTGTAGCAAAGCCCCATACTTGGATATGATACGGACATGGTGTAGCACAGTCATTGGATCCGGCCCCATCTCGAAACTGCTTGGGATCTCGGTCGAGATAATCACCCATTGACCTTCTTTTATAATAACGCCGTCTAACCCACTAGTTATTGTAGCTGTAGAGTCGGCCAAATTAAACGTCACGTCCAAAGGGTCTATAAGTTTTCCCCCATATACAGGTACGATGCGGGGCGTTGCATTTCCCGACATTTGTCTTTCACGCGCGAGTTCATGCGCGAGAGGATCTTGAATGGAATATGCAGATGTGTAGTGTCCTAGTATCTTCGGCACTTGTAAGTTTAACCCCGTGGGAAACTCCCGCATGACGGAATTCCCTGCCAACGAGGCAAACAGACTAGCATAGCAGAAGCTAACCAGGAGGTCGACAACGTTAGGTTGGCTTAGGATCTCATGATCTACGTCCGGGCCTAAGCCTATGTTCATGTACTGGTGAAGACAGAGGGGATCGCTGCAGACGTACGGTCTCAGAGCCTCAAAGTTCCCTTTCATTCTGCGATGGCAGACTGTACAGTAGTCTGTGCATCTAACTAGGTAGCGCAAGGCAAACTGTATGGCAACGAGTGGTAAAGAGACCTCGCCGTCACTTAGCATGTGATCATTGGCGAGAATAGGAGGCAACTGAGCCTTATCAGTGGATTCTTCTTCGTATTCCGCGACCTCCACGCCTTCGGATGATGGCTGAAACCCTAAGAACGACTTCATTTCATACGCGCGTCTTATTTCCTTCGCCATATCCCAGGAAACTCCACGTTCTTTCCTCAGCTTCAACATTGGCATGAAGTCTTCGTTCATGAGCTTGTCGATCGACTTGCTGCCCCAAAACGTATATAGCTCTGGGTCTTGTGATACGTTAGCATGATTCGCAGCTGTCGCAGCTGTCTCGGTTCTGAAAGCAGCTAGGGCTTGTTGATATGAAGGTTTCTTTTTAGAACACCTTCTTAGACGAAAATTGGCTCTGGCATGTCCAGTTTGGCCCTGAAGTACGTCTTCGATAGTAGTGTAATATCGGTCAAATTTGATGAGTAGGACAATGAAGTCTGAAGAGCTAAGACCCCATGCTTCGTGTATCTCTTTAGAAAGACACAATTTGGTCACCCGAATCGAAATTGATACCATGCTCTCATATACGCCGTCCTCAAATCCATGAATCTTCCCCACGTGAAATCCTGCCTTGAGCACAGACCGAAGATCTCGGCAGATTCGCTGCAGAAGCAACGGTGCAAGTGGTGTGTCAGGTTCAAATTGAAGATTTGTCCTGTCCCTGTTCCTTGTTCCATGACCAAACAGCTCGTCGTCGAGATCATCGTCGAGATCGTCACCATATTCAAAGGGTATATCTCCCTCACTGCTGCCTGATAATATTGTATCATCCATCATGTCGATATCACTATCTTCTTCCTCGGAGCCGTTACTCTCTAGGACAGCCCGAAGTCTTCGAGAGATATTGCTAAGCATGTCCTGGACTTTCATGCCTGCTGCCTCGGATATGGATTCTTCTAGAACATGGGCAACTGCTGGAAGTATATCATCATTGGTGTAGACAAGGAAAGTGTTCTGGTCTGGATAACCTTGCACATCTAATCACATTATTAGCTGATAGGAACTTAAATTAGAGTCGTAAGGGGGTAGATGCTAGCGGTACTAGCATGAAGAACAGAACAAGAGAACTAACCTTGTGGTTGGACATGGATCTCAATGTGAGAGGGTCTAGGCAGGTTAGGATGGCTAAACACGAACGTGAATTCGTCTTCGACATCCCCCTTTTTGATGGTTGATATATGGTCACTGTTTTTCTCGGCTGCTAACTTCAAGTCGGCTTGGAACTTTAGCCGCGCCTTTGGTGGAGGCATGATGCTTTTCTCACAGCCGTTGATCTAAACGGCTGTCTAGTAGTTATAGAATGGCCCTATGGTTTACAGAAAGTTTTGGTCAGTAACACGTATCAGCTCTTGCACATGCTGCATGAATATGCCTGGAAAGAAAGTGACAACAAGAACCAATATGATCCAAGGCAAGATTAGACCAGACAGACGGAGAATTCTGAAGACTGCCTCAGAATTACACCAAAAACAACAGGTCTATTATCTGATAAAGCACCGAATGATAACAACGATCCACATTCTATCACCTAATAGGGCGTCGGGGAGATGAGGTTACTTACCTGGATTGCATAGGGCTAGAATTTATAGTAAGTCGAAGATGGGAGAACAATGGTGAAAACAATGGTGGATTAATAGACTGCACAAATCGATAAATGATTTGTTCAACGAAGTGAATGATCTTGTCAGGTACTCTTGCCATGAAAGGGGAAGACAAGAGAATTGCGTGCGTCTGAAATTTGTTTGTTGCGCCGTAACCGTGTGATGACCATGTAGCAAAGAAACTAACACCAATCACCTTAGAAACAGTAGAATACTAGAGAATGTATTTGGTGGATATGTATCGATCAGTCGTACCTATGGATGTGCTGGATGATGATGCTGGATGATGGTGGGAATTTTGTGGTAAAAAGACAGCGAAGACGGCATTGATGTATGAATGTATTAATGAGGTAGAAATAGGTTACGCCCCCCCCCCCCTAAGATATATAAGGTATCTACGTTGCCTAGGCAGGTGGGTAAGTATGATAAAGTACGATAACCCTATATCGATAGAATGGGAATGAGCGAACCTCTAGAATATTTAGTTTAAGGCTGCGAATGTGGTACCTACAAGTAGATAGCAAATAATACCTAGGTAGGTAGGTACGGCTAGAGAGGATATACTAAGGTGAAGCTGCTACAGTGATATATAATACGACTCTGGCTAGAGAATTACAGTAGCTTGGTAACCAATTAAACAAACCGAGGAAATAAATATGGTAAATTATATATTCTTGCTTGCTAACATGACAGCATACTTGTATTATCCGTGTCGTGAGGCTACGGGTAGCTTCATGCAGGTACCCCATCCCAACGATACATGACTCAGCCCTATATGTGCACAAGGTACCTAGTTTGATGCCTATGTAAAGCCTCCGGCCGAAGCTAGGCTGCAGCAAAGTCGGCTGCCTATTTCCTTATCGCAGACCTTAGTCCTCCCAAACAGCAAACCTTGTTGCGTGCTTATAAGGAGATATACTATTCCTTTAGCTGTGAGTAAGACGGGAGTGTTGAGATCTTGGAGCTGCATCTAGCTTGACATTATCGAGATTCAAGGAGATGCGGCTGTCGTAATAAGCTAATGTATAGGTTAAGAGGTACGTAGCTTCTCCAAATTCACGTTAGGGTAGGTACAATACCCTGTCTTATCTTGCGTACCTAACCCACTAGAGGGGGGATGTGGACCTTGGTAAGGTTGTCGGGCTCTAGCGGTAGTTTTACCACGCGGGGTGATCCCGATGCTACTACCAAAACAAGCTTAGGTACCTGTTAGACACTTATGTGAGGTATTATGTAATCTGGAACAAACCAAAATGCGCAACTATGATTTACCTAGGTAACCTAGTACCTAACCTAAAGGTTAGCTTCCTTCATTTCAACATGATTCCCATCAACGTCGACATTACCTATTTTTAATACGAAATCTATAAGACGACCCTACTATAATGTCTTGGGATTCTAAATCCGCCGTTAGACGACGGCAAAATAGCTCTGTGAGCTCTTCTAGATCATTGCCGCACCATATAAGACAGCAGTCGAAGCAACCTCTACAGCCAAAATCTCCTCATGTTACCGACCCATTCCTCCAAAGCTTCCTCGCCCCGTCGTTTGATCCGGCCGAATATCTTAATTCCTCACTTCCAACACTCCAAACCGCAACGTCCTCATCCTCAACTCGAACAACGGATGGTGCGGTTCCCTTAGCAGAACTATCCAGTCAAGCTCAGACGCAACTCTCCCAATTGAATGCCCATACGACAAGGTTGACCACTATTCTCACGCAATTGACCGACGATATATTACGGAGCGGGAGCCGCCTAGCATACGAGGTTGAACTCCTGCGCGGTGAGACGTTAAGCCTATCGGAGACATTGTCTGATGGTTTACAAGAAGAGATCGCAAGGTTCATTCCGAAAGGTACACAAGAACAACCAAATACCAAAACAAACGGAGCTGTTACGGCCACTGAGAGACGACCCCCAGAGGCGACAGCTCCCATAAGCCTAGAATCTATTCCACAAAATAGCACCAGTCTAGACCCACCATATATAAGTCAACTGCAAACCTTGACATTAGTACGTTCAAGATTGGACACCGTGGTTAAAACATTTGGTGAAGCTATGGAATTCGTGTTCCCCCCTTCTGAGCTTTCCGTCAGCTCGTCATTCCTCTCCGTCTCAGCACCGGAGCCAGGGGTAGAAGCGCACAGCACAGAAGAAAAAGGACAACAAGTACTCAAGCAGCTGAAGGAAGATATATCAACCTTGCTCACGAGAAGTACCGATCCTGTTGAAGGGATAGAGAAGGCTGCACGCCGTATTGAAGAGCTTAAGGAGCTAACAAAAGTATGGAATGGAACAGCAGAGGAGAAAGGAAGGACGAAATTCATTGAAGGTCTCGCCAAAATGGTCGAGGATCGGCATAAGGAATTACTGAAGGAGGTGGAGCAAAATGGCCGCCAAGATGGCAAGGCAGATTTGGATAACAGTTCTAAGAAAGCTGCTGCTGCTGCTAGCTCAGACGGAGGCGGCGCGGAGAACAAACCCCTGTATGGAATAATGAGCCAGTTACAGAGGCTCCGGGCTGGCCTACAATGATTCAAAAGGTCAAACCCTCAAGTGTGTAGTATTTGATTGTGATCTGAGCTACGCGGATATGCGTGGATGGCTGAATTTGTGTAATAATGTTTCAGGAGCCGATCAGGACATATGTTGCCTATAGGAACGAAACAGTTGTGAGTAGTAGGCTGTTTGCTCTGCTCCCATTTGTAGGCTTTCCACGAGTTGCAATAAGCAAGTAACGTGCTTCCCATGCCATCGATGGTTGTGTTGGACGGCTGCATCTTAAAGTCCGCCTTAACTCAGTCCTTCTCAATGCTACACAACTCTTCGTATTTGTGTTCAAGAACAAAAACAGCTTGTCCATCTACCCAGCTAATATTAGCGAGCACATCTAACTCATATCTATATATAGGTAGCTATGTATGATCATGTTATTTGGGGAATTGGTGATGATCGTCTGGTTTGATATGCCATCACCAAGCTGATGTCATTGCTAGAGCACAACGGTGCTCTTGTCTCGGTTAGCTCGCGCTTAATGGCGGTTGAAGTAACTAGCACATTTGTGTTATAAAAGTACGTTTGCCAAGTACAGCGATTGCGATGTAATTTGATATTACTATTTCGGCCTTGAAGTGTAGAAAATATTTTAGTGATAAATTCTAACTATTTGCTAGTAGAACACAGCTGTGTTGACTATATACTTACCACCTAACCCTTGCTTCGACCTAGCTTTCTAATTGACTAGCAATGTGAATAACAGTTGTGCTTTATCAAATAGTTAATAATTATAGAAAATATAGATAATGAATATAATTATATATATTAAAAGGGCGGTGAATGATGACGGGAAGCAATTCGGCCGAGAAATTTTGAGAAATATGACCTGAAAACACTATACGAGCTTGTCCGCGATTATTCTATGTCTACGTCTACGAGGTCTGATTTTTCGGCTATCGTGTCTGGTAGTGGCTCTGACAGTGGCAGGTATGCCATATCCTACTTGAGAAAGCTGATCTTACTCAATACGTAATATGAATGCTAAGTTGAATACGGGTGGATAGTATGTCTCAAGCTTCATATCCGTCATACAGCTTAGACGCGTATCTACGGAGTCCGCCTACGTCTGCAACCGAGCGATTGGTAGCCAACCAGACACCAGCAACTTCGGTAGCCCACAAGAAGACGAGAACTACACTTCAACTTCAACTTCAGTCTTGGCAATGCAATTTCGATAGAGCTGCGGAAGTAAAGGACTAGGGAGTAAGGAGAGAGGGAGGCGCATATACATTCTTGAACTTAAAATAGAGGATTGGTTATAATGACATGAGTTACCGACGGATTGGTAGATATTGGACTTAGACGGTTTCAATTAAACGCCTGGAGCGACCCACTCTATAAGGTAGAAATCTACGAAGTACATAGTGTACATGTACCTAGGTATATACTTCCTTGAAGAAAATCTTGGACCCCACATACGCTTAATACGATTTGACTTACATCTCACAACGCAACAAGAAAAAAAAAGTTGACCTAGTAATCTCATTAAAACTGCTAGGTTTGTTATTTAAATCGAAAACCCGGCTCCAAAGCCCCGAGACGAACTAAGGCCGTCATAATGAAGATCCTAGAAGCCCAGTCAGCTGTGTTAACTAACGTCGAAGTTCACACATTTTTGAGCAATCAAGCAAAACAATATAATGACCAAAAGCGCAAGGGACCTACAAATTTGGAGACACTACGTAAAGAGGTAAGGTTAAATTTTACCCTGTAATAATATGCATAGCTTATTCTGATGGATTAAACATAGGTGCTGCAATATTTCGAGAGCCCGCCAGGTCCTCTGAGTCAGAAGCCGTTGCCCTTTGATGCAGCGGTCATCCCCGAGTTGATCAAGAGGCTGCGCCAGTACCAGATCACCAAAGGAGAGTGTATCATGCTCTTTAATATTCGCCCCACTAACGTTCCAGTCCTAAACACTGTTATCGAGGATATGGAAGACCGCTTTAATGGCGATCAGCAGCAGGAGATCCTCGATATAGTCACCGAAATCCTCGGGCAGTTCCCCCAGGAGCCGGAAGAGGGTGACCAGGGAGACGACGTTATGGAAACTACTGAGAATGGGCACTCATGAGGATCGTAGACACCGATAACAACTTTAAGTTCTTAATATGGCTTATGCTCCGGGTTCTAGGGGGCATTTGACAAAAAGGTGCCATCATTCTTAACACCTACAACACCAAACACCCTCCTTCACTTTGCCCACCATCAGTTACAGTCGTCCTTACTGCGGTATTGCATATCTCCTCGAAGGCTAGCTTGAGGAGTTCGCCGGTGACAGCCGAGCACTCGACGTATTTGTCCACTCTCATCTCTTGCGACACATTATGTCCTTCCTGAGGATATATGATGCCATTGGGATCAGTTTCGGATCTTAGGTCTCTCTTGAGGCCGACGACAATTACGGGGAGGTGGTCACTAGTTCGGAAGTTGGCATGGACCTGCTTGATCCACTATAAATGCAAGATTAGAGACATGAGAGTGTTAGGATAAGGAGGACGATACTTACGATTCTTTGCATATTGATGAGGCTTAGTCTTTGACTGATATCGTAGCAAATCAAGACCAAGTCCGGTTCAAGCAGCCTCCAGTCTTCTGGACTGGAAGTGTCATAGAACTCAAGACGATATGTACCCCTTCGGTTTCGTATCTCGAAAACGAAAGGCTGATTTATATCTCGTAATAAAGTAATAGGGGCATGACCTTCAAGACTGCTGCTACCTCCACTAATCCGCCTGTGTTGCGCATTAACAAGAATACGAATGATGTTGAGATAATGATTTCTACGCACGATAAAAACGTTGTTTTCCCTACTTTCTCATCCCCAAGCAGGAGGATTTTAATTGTCACGTCATCCATCAATAAACTCCAATTTTGATTTTTTGTAAATTTAAGGCAATTAATACTGAGCTGAACGAGAACATTGAAGTTGATATTGATGGGAAGTGAGCTGCCCCAATTAATTGTGCTTAGTCTACCTCTTTTACAGTAGCTTTTAAGGGACTCCACTATCGATAAGGCCCTATAGCGAGTATTTTGACTCATTTCTATTAGGTACATAACCTGTATTTTAGGTACAGTAGTACATACATTCAATATTCGATGTAGAGCCTCGAAAAAAAAGAATACCCCGACATAAAAAGTTGTCTGAATATTCTCCTGACGTGGGTGTGGATGAAACCCTTCAGTGGCAGGTGGTACAACCAACGCCTTCAGACATCTCTAAGGTCTTTTTTCCTCGCATCTCGTCAAGAGATTCGATGTGGATTTTCTACGGGACTCACTGCATTAAAACTCAAGATGGATAAGAGGGATTCTACCTACGATAGGTGGACCAAGGATGCGCTTATAAAACGCATTCAGAAGCTCGAGGCGAATCTCCTTCGCGCTGGCGAGCATAAATCGGAAGTGGCTCAAGAGTCTATCACGAGTACAGCGACGGAAGAGGGTGCTACTAGTCCCCCGACGAAGAAGAAAGTAGGGCGCAAAATTGACCCTTCGAAATACTCGACGCGGCTCGTGGCGTTTAAACTGGCGTATCTGGGTAAGCGGTACGGCGGCTTCGAGTATGCGGCGAGTGCCAACCTGCCATCTATCGAGGAAGAGCTTTGGAAAGCTTTTGTCAAGGCGTGCTTGATCTTTCCTGAAAACCCCGACGAAGTCAACTGGGACGCTTGGGAGTACTCCAAGTGCGGACGTACGGACCGTGGCGTCAGCGCGTTCGGCCAGGTCATTGCTGTTCGGGTCAGGAGTAATCGGCCTCTCCCTAAAAAGGAGCAACTGACAGAAGCTGGTCAAGTAGACGAAAATGGAGAGGCAGCAGAGCTAGACGCACCAGTCGAGGAGGTAGAGAAGAAGAGGGAGTTCAACGACTTCACGGATGAGCTACCGTACTGCAGGCTTCTGAACAAACTCCTGCCCCCTGATATCAGGATGCTTGCGTGGTGCCCCACGACACCAGCCGACTTCTCTGCGAGGCACGACTGTAGGGAGAGACAGTATAGATATTTCTTCACGCAGCCAGCGTTCGCACCGATACCGCAGAGCTTCGAGAACCCAGATAACCCTAAAAAGGTGAAAGGGGGTTGGCTCGACATCGAGGCTATGCGGCAAGCGGCCAAGAAGTTTGAGGGCCTCCATGACTTTCGAAACTTTTGCAGAGTCGACCAGAGCAAAATCAATATTAACTTTGAGCGGAGAGTATTCGAGAGCGACATAGTAGAGGTGAAAGACGCGGAGACCGCTCTACCATTCTTAGATCGCGAAGAGTTTAGGCCTTCAGGCATGGACTTACAGGAGAAGCTACCCAAGGTATACTATCTTCACGTACGAGGGACCGCGTTCCTATGGCATCAAATCCGATGCATGGTAGCGGTTGTCTTCATGGTTGGCCAGGGCTTGGAAGAGCCCTCGATAGTAGACAAACTCCTCGATTTTGAGGCGGAACCGCGAAGACCTAACTATCAGCTTGCGGACGAAGTGCCGCTGGTGCTTTGGGATTGTATGTTCCCTAGGCCAGAGAAGCCCGAGAACGCGCTTAAATGGGTATACGTTGGGGAAGAGAGCCCCCTAAGTCAGCACGGGACAGGCGGCCTCTTGAATTCTATGTGGGAATACTGGCGCGAACGGAAGATGGACGAGCTATTGGCAGGCCAACTATTGAACATAATATCCTCCCAGGCGGATATCAGCCTCCGCAAGGATCCGAAGGCACCACTACACACCCCAGCCACGACAAGAACGTTCGAGGGCGGCGACAGAGAGCGTCTGGTGGGCAAATACCAACCCCTTCTGCAGAAGCCTAGGCTCCCGTCACCGGCGGAAGTCTTCGACAGGGAGGCAAGGAGAAAGGGTTTCGCAGACGCGGCGGAGATGAGGGAGGCGTGGTCGAAAAGGAGAGAGGAAGCAGCAGACAATCTACCACCTAAAGAACTATCACTAGAGGAGGGAACGGAATAAGTAGATATAAAAGGAGATAATAATGGGAGAAAAAAATAGCATAACACATCGCTATATTGCAGACACTTAAGCTATGCAACGCTCTCGGGGTATCATATTCCATGAGCAAAAACTCCATGCCATCCATCATAGCCATACGCCAACTAAACAAACCCGTCCTAAACCACTATCCACGAGTCCCCAACTCCCCGTCCATGTCTACGACACAGCTGCGGCGGCTCACAGGGAGACAACTCATCGTTCTCCTAAGCCGTGCCGTTCCCCTTAGACCTCCTTCCTTCTTTTTCGTCCTCCCCATCCCGCCCATAGAGACACTCCCTCGCGCCCTTCCACACCTTCTCCAATATACGCGGCCGCGGGAGCAGCTGCGGAAACACGACCACGATGTGCTCCTCCCCTTCGACGATGACAATCAGGTAGTGCCGGACCTCGAAGCCGCGGAAGGCCTCGTTAATTAGGATGTCCTGGATCTTGTCGGTGGGGATGAAGCGCGTCTTGAGCGCGGAGAAGACCGTTGCTCCGCTGGAACTCGTCTGTACGCCTAGACCCCGTAGGACTAGGAGCCGCTCCTCTACGCCGATGCGCAGCGAGAGGAGGTATAGTGTCCCTATGGAGCAGGGGATTAAGATCCATGGGGGTACGGAGTGCGCGAGCTGAGAAAGGAGAGATCCTAGGCGCGAGGATAGCAGTACGTTGAGGGTCTGCTGGACGAAGGCGAGGGAGAAGATAGGGGTGGTAGCGAGGACGTCGATGGGACTGTTTGCGGTGGTAGCACCTGTCGTAGTAGAATTCGATTGTATATTCGCTACTGATGTCTTCATCGACGGTAGTAGTAGCGGCTGAATGGGCGTTGTCGAGTAATACGAGCTCTGGACCGCGTACATCATAAGCAGGACGGCGAGAGCGAGCAGTAGACGCACGAAGTATACAGCCCCGAGGGCAAGACGTAGCGGTATCGTCTGCGGTGGGAGTGTCGACACGATGAACTCGGTCGTCGTTGGGGACGGGCGCCGGATGCGCAGGTACGGCGCTGTCGTTAACATGACATGGACCTAACCGGAGAACCGGGTTTATGAAGAGAGTAATTGGGCGTATGGAGTATCGTAAATATGATTAGGTGCCTAGGCATGTGGGATTTCTAGTTGATGTGCTGGAGGAGAGCTTAAGTTTCTGCAAAAGAATAATCCTGAAGCTTTATGATATTAAGTAACGAATGTGTAGGCTACGGAAAGGATATGCCGCGCAATGTCTCGTGTAAAGCTGCTATGATAACACTAATAGCTACCTGGTATTGAAGCTTCCAAAATAGCAGTATGTCTCCAGCGCGCAGGTCCCGATTTAATAAACCTCATTAACCGAATCAATGCAATTGCCGCATACCTCATAATTGCAAGCACAAATTTACCCTCCAAAGCCAATCCGAACTTTACCCCGCGCAGCCCCACCACCCAACCCAGGTACCTAATATATAAGACAAAATTCCAACCAAATTTTCCGACTGTAATGGTCTAACTGGTCGAAGGCGCTTAAAATTCTCGTGTCGCTAATCCCAATTCCATAAGAACCCCCAGGGCGCGCCCACCGCAAATGCTGCGGTGACCACCTATCCGCTTGGGCAACCAGTGATTGTTTAGGTGGTCCTATGAAATGGAGAGGAAACTTCAGGGAGGCCTCACTCTGCAGAGCATCTCCCCCGCCGCATGGTGTGGTGGAACACGCTGACCTGGGGACTTGGGCTAGCGGTACGAGATGGAGATTGTCGACTCCGTTATTCTTTTTGCCTTTTTTTATTTTATCTTTGTAAATCATTTGTAGCAGTTTTGCTTGATGCTGGAGCACATCAAGTTCAACTTTATCTCTAATGATGAGAAGTTATGACATGTTAAAAAATATGTTTTTTGACCCGTTCGAACCCGCAACCTTGGAAATCTTAACTTTACGTTTATAGCCAATAAAGTTACATTTTACACAACAACATTAGATACATCTATCCACTACACGTAACCTCCATGCTCAGTTCGCCTTCGAAGTCAATGCTATCTTTTTTAATAATCACACTCATTGCCGTTTAAAACATTTGGGGGTTATCAAACATCAAGGTATAATGATAATAATAATAACTATAATAACAGACTATCAAGAAAATTCGGGTATAGCTTTAATCGCTCATCCCCGCAACCGGCAAGCAGATTAGCAGCAGGCAGGTAAGTAAGAAGCGAAGAACAAAGATGCCGTGAGGCAACACCATTCTTGTCGTTAGACTTTTCTCTTCTGGGAAAACTCAAGTTTGTGTCGTGTCATCGCCCTTTTCCCACGGGATTTTTGTCTCCTTTCCCCTTATCCCCTTATCCCCTTCCTCCTCCCGAAGTCGTCGTCATCATCACGTAGATATACTGCTATCTCATTGTATACAAGCTTTCGTAATTCGGGCCGCCGCAGAGACATTACTCGTCTCCCACGGTCCCCCCCCTTTTTTTTTCTGTCGTCCAAAAGTTGCCCCCTCATGTCTTGTCCGTCCCCCAATGTCGTAAATTCGTGAGTTTCCAGAAAAAAAAGAATAAAATGTAAAAATTTCTCCGGGACTGCTTGCGCGCCCGGAGGTAACAATGGGTATTGGCTATTCTTTTTCCGGCCAGACCTTGTCCTCGGTTCGGAGGACAATATAGAAGTATACAAGGTAGATTTAGAAGGTAAAGAAGAAGAAGAAGAAGAAGGAAGGAAAGGTAAAAAGTCGTAGATGGCTGTTACTTGGTAGAAAAGGGGTATTGGGTATTACGTCGTCGATTCCTGCCCGTAGATTTGCCATTAGGGGTGGAGATAAATACCAAGTCGTAAATAGGGGGGGGGGGGGGGGGGAATGATGCATGCGCAAAATGCTTAAAAAATGGCGGCCGGGAAAAATAAGACTTGGAGGAAGAAATGGTATCAATGGTAGGAAGTAGATGAAAACGCCGGCGCCATGCGAATACATGCTGAGTGAGACGCGGAAGAATCCAAACAAGAGATGGAGATGCGTCGTATATAGTTGAAATGTAGGTAAGTAAGAACACAATCGTAATCTAGGCGTGCGTTATTTCGAAATAAGAAAGTGTTGTCCAATCTAGGTCTAGATCATCTCGCTGGCGTGAAGACCGCTGCCGAACTCCCGCTCCTGGTACGCGGCGCGGACCTCGCGGGGGTGGCGCTCGATAGACTGCGGTTGCTGCTGATTAACAGGGGATGTGAAGCCGCCGTTGTGCATGCTAACTGGGGGTGGGACACTCTCGTAAGGTATGGTGGCGGTGTCGGGAGACTTGGTCCTGTTACCTAGGATGGAGCCGGTGCGGCCCCGGCTACCAGATCGCATTCTCTCGGCAGCACGGCTAATACGTCCGGCGATGCTGTTGTCGCCAAAGCTTCGCCCGCGGCTGTGGCCGTTGCGCGACGAGGGCGACATCTGGGGGCTTGAAGTTTGCGGAGCGGGTTCCGGAACCGGTACGATTGATGCTACGTTGTTGTTGTTGTCGTCATCCTCGTCCATTACAATCTCAATAGTCCCAGATCCTGACGGCTGGGCACCGGTGTAGATGGTGGGTCTAACGCCGGGAATAGGCGCGGGTGGCGGCGGTGGGGGAGTAGCCAGATGCTGGAGCTCCTTTAGAACTGGTGGCGGCGGCGGTGGAGGTGGTATCTGGTCGTCTCGAGAAGCCTTCCTCGAGTGCCTACCGGATCCCGCCCTCTCCTCGATACCAGGCAATCCTCCATTGACATCTCCGCTCATCTTCCTTACCGAGAGAGACCCTCTGCGGTGCGGCTGGCTGGTTGCCTGCATTCCGTGCTGGTGAGCTGAGTGAGCAAATTGAGGTGGGTGCTCTTCCGGAATAGGAGCGGACATGCATCTTGCGATATTAGGTCGCGAGGGAGGAGAATACACGGTTGAAGGGAGAAGAGTCAGCAGTGGTGCCTCTTTGTCCGATGACCCATCCGACGATTTGCTAGGCGATTCGGCTGGGGCTGGTGGCGACTTAGTCGGCGAGTTGTTACCAGGTCTGTTAGGTGATGGCTGTCCAGAAGACGGCGGCGACGTCCTGGTATAAGCGGTGGGAACTGGCGGTGCGCCACCGTGCTTGCTTGAGGCGAACTGAAGACGCATGGCTTTGGGTGTTGCTGGTAGGCCAATCATGGGGACCGTTCCACTGCGTGAGTAAGAGTGAGAGCTCCTGTGGGGGTCGGCAGTCTGACTCCTGACGGGCATATCTTTTGAAGGTACAAAAGTCGTCTGAGGCAATTCGAAGATGCTCGGCGTACGGGCTACAATTGGGGATAGCTCATCCGGGTGAGGGATAGGAGGTGCTGAGGGACGGCGTGCAAGGGACTTGCGGCGTTCCTCTAGTTCGCGGGCTGCGGCCTCCTTCTTTAGCTGTCTTTCAGCCGAGATTAATTTGAGATCTCCAGCTCGTGCCTCACTCATCATCGGCTGTTGCGGTGGCGGTGGCGGTGGGGGCGGGATTTGTAGATGTTTGAGAACTAACTGCGCCGGCTGAACCACCGGCATTGGTTCTTGGTCACCCGGAGTCTTGTTCCTCCTGCGACGGCTTTCTGAACGATCCCGACCTCGGGAGACGGCAGGAGAAGATGGATCCTTCTGGCTCTGGTTACCGCTTCGGTTGTGTCGGTTTCTAAATTGTTCCTGCGCGGCAATGGCGGCTTGGTAGTCTCCCTCATCGTCTGATCCGTAAAACTTCATAGGAGCTGACATTGGCAATGGAGATGACGGGGATCTTAGAACAGAGCCATCGCCACGGCTCTTGCTTCTGCCGCGGAGATCTAAAGCTGGCGGCCGTCGCTCGTGGCTCCTCTGGCGGCCGGTACGGCTCGAAGTACGGCTAGAGATGCGAGTGCTTCGAGGGGAAGATCGTCGAATCTGGCTAGATTTTCGAACCGTGGACGGTTCCCCTAAGTCGAACTCGACCGATACGAATCCTTCATCGCTAATCTCTGCTTTAGCTTGCTGTGGGGTGCTCAAGTTAATCAGATCTTCGGGGGACATGGGCACGGGAGAAGTGGGAGAGCGTTTAGCGGGCTTAGGAGTCCAGTTTCGAGAGATACCTCTACCTCTGTCCTCCGAACTTTCGCGTGTGCTGCTTTGACGAGTACGGCTCCCCTCTCGGCTTCGAGCATTTTTATCGTCCTGGCGGTGGCGACTGTTTTCGCGGCTTCGCTGCTTCTTAGAGTAGTGTTGTGCAGCCTCCAAGCTGTGAATATACTCGTTCAAGCCACGACCTCCGGCCTGGTTAGCTCGGTAGCCTCGTCCAGCGCTCGAGTTTGATGTAACGGAGCTAGCAATCGAGCCCGGACCACGGCGACGAGACGGCCAATGGAAACGGGTAGACGATGCTACCGATTGCTCTGGAGATGTCACATCGCTGTTCATCGCAGCCTCAATAGAGTGGATTTTTAATTCCATTCCCTCAGGCTTCCGTTCTCGGGCACCATTTCGACTAGTACGACCCTGTTGCATTAAAGCATTAATCGATTGTGGCGATGGTGAAGGTGGAGGGGGATCCTTCCGACGATGGCTATCCCTCATCATCATTGGGCTTGCAGTAGAAGCTCTCGGCACAGATAATCCAACATCGTACCGGTCATCAGCAGAGGGTGTCTTGGAGTGATGGGCACGATGGGCCTGGCTCATTTCAGGAACAAGGTCAGCAGGGGGGGTTGGAAGATCTCTTTCGCTGAGTAGGTGGCGAGGAATGGCATTGTTTGGGATCTCTCCTATTGAGGGTAGACGCTGCCGTCCGAATCCACCGGGTGTAGTAGGCTTCGCAGAAGCAGGAGTGTTATAAGCGCTTCGTTGCGAGGGACGGAGGAATGCAGTACTAGGCTCATGTCCACCAGGAGAAACGGCAGACTCGGCTATCGGCGTGACACCTGCAGCAATGGGAGTCTGACCCCCATCACAGTTTGCAAAGAACTTGGACTTCTTCCCCTGATCACCAAAAGATGTAATGAGCTTTAGCGCTGAGGTTTTTGCGATGCTACGCTGCGGCCCGCGGTTGATGCCAGGAGGAGACAACGGAGGACTCAATATCTCTGGAATGCTCGCACTAATGTTCTGGAAGGTTACTTGGGCTGCTGATGGCGAAGTCCAAGGCTCTGTGGACTCTACGCCAGTGCATGCAAAGCTATTCAAGGCTGTTAGCGCAGGACTTTGTTGATCTTGATTGTCATTATTAAACTTACCATCGAATCGCTAGTTGCTGTTGGCCGTGCTGGACAGCGAACTCTCCCCATTTCTTGATAACTTGACTTTGCC